AGCCGTCAGAGATTTTGGTACCACCGGAGCGTTTGTTATCGGAGCTGTGAAATGCATAAGTGTTACCAATTAAAACAGGAACAGTTACAGCAGAAAAATATAAATATTTAGATATAATAGAGACCTACGTGCTGTTATAACCATTCTTTGAGATCTTTTGGCGTACACTGGAAGAGTATCCACATTAAAACCTGCGATTGTGGAAAAGTAAATCCAGGATTAGCCTAAATCTCATTAGCATGACTAAACCATGTATATATATATATATATATTAAAAAAGAAGTTGAATCTTTAATTTGTCCTAACATTGAAAGTAAACCAACCCATTTCGACGAGAGTAATGACCACATCAGACAGAGTAGGGGTGCTTCTGGCTGTGTGCTCACAGTTTGCCTTTGCGCAACGTCCAACTTCTGTTATATCTATCAAAAGACAACAAGACTCTTAAAAATCAAAAAGTACCCAATTCACCTACAGCACATGTCGTTGGACTGTGGGGGGAAACCGGAGCAAACATGAGCTCTACTTATTAAAATATATTTAAGAATAAATGGTCATACTAGACACACAAAAACATGTATTTATCCATTTATGACCTATTAATAAACTATAACTTAGCAGACAAATAAGTAAACTAGTAATCTAAATAAATAGTGAACAAGTAAAAAGATTTAAAATGACAATAATTAAAATTTTTGGGAGCTACACTTTTCTAAATACTGTATGCCTGACAAAAAAAAAAAACTTTTTTAGTGTATACAATATTAGTCTTATTGACATTTCAGTGATAATTTATTTGCTCAGATTAATATATTTTTAAATAGACACATTCTAATGTACAGAAAAGTGTAAAGTAATTGTATTGTTTTGTGAGCTTTTATTCAACTATAGCTCAATTTTGGTTCCCAAACTGTGGTTAAATTAGAACATAGAACCATAAATTACATACAAATACACACAAACGTAAAAAGTAAAACGCGATGATTTGTGATATTGGTATGCATAAGCTTTTAAATTTTGTCAAGATGAGCTGCTTAAAGTAAATGAAGGACTCACAGCTCTGCATCATCTCAGTGAGTGTCTCCACAACAGCTTTCTCAGCGCTATCAAAGCCACACTCGGTCAGCAGAGCACTGACCACCACTTGCAGCGTGCGTCTCCGAGCCAGCTGATAGTTCTCTGTGGGACTGGTGCAGGTCTTACTGCTCCCCGAGCGCTGGAAATAATAAAATAAAAGATGATAAGAAGGTTTTACAGATCAGGAAGTTTTAAAACATATCTGCATTTAATACAGCAAGGCATTTCTTTGAAAATGCAATAAAAGAGATTAAGTTAGGGCTAAATGAACTGCATTTATTTGAAATGTTTTACAATTAGTATGGTTCCTATACTGTAAGCTTCTGAGTTTTTAAAAGGTTTCAAAGTTTATTCTAAGATTAGTGTTGAAGAAAGAGGAATTGTATTTAGTGGTAATGACTAGGCCCACACGAAATCTGCGCGCGCAGATTTTCCGCAGAATTTCTGCAGATTTTTAGCCCATCATTAATTCTGTTTATTTACTTGAGTAAATGTGTAAATCTAAATTTATTCAGTTTTTATTCAGTAATTTATTACTTTTTGTTTCATATATTAAGGTTTTAGTTTTGATACTCCGCTGGATACTCCCAAAATAATTCTGCAGAAATCCGCAGATTTTTACCAAAAATCTCAGCAGAAATAGCAAAAAACATCTGCAGATTCCGTCTGGCCCTAGTTATGACTCATGAATATAAAACTTTGAAAAAATAATGGAAAAGTTAGTCATGTAATTAAGTTTTTATGAAAATCAAAACGTTTTGAGGTAGATTTACTTTACTGGAAATTACTATAACTCACATTGTGGAATCGTATGTGATTTTAAGTTAATTTCTGCTTAGTTAAGTTGGTTTTATATGGCACATTCATAAAGTGACAACTTGTGAGTCGCTATATTGTTTTCCATGCTACTTTGATTATTAAGTGTAAGGGATCAACCTATATTAAAACATTGGTCAGGGATTTATTAGGTCATTTAAAGGAACCAAATCTTGAAGATCTGAATTACTTGATTCAACTCAATTGAGTCAAACTGAATCAGATTAAAAGCTTTACCTACTAAATCTACCATTTGTCCAGCAAATAGAAGACATCGTATTTTACCAATCCTGTTTAAATTAATTCCATGGCCAACGATAACATAACAGTATTGGGTAAAATTTTAGCTAGGTAATGACTTCAAAACAACATTATCACTGCTGCTAATAGGATTTCCCTATTTAGAATTTGCAAACAACATGTTTCTGAACTTATATTATTAAGGACAAAGTCTGAATGTGTGAATATAAAGCCACCTTTACCTCAATCTTTGTTAATGTTTTTTTATTTTTTATGGATGGATCCTTAACAAAAAGTTAGGGATTTTGTAAGGCTGTGCTTATAATTACTGAGGCAAAAATGCATCTATTGCATTCATTTTTGCATCTGAGAATCTGGTTAAGATTACTATTCCACTGTGGATTGCATTAAGAGTGTGGTATTAAATTATGGTATGTAAAACTGCCCATTCCTGTCAATAATCTAGTTTACTGTTAATATATTATGCTAACCCAATTCTCCATGCACAATAACTTGTCATTATGAGTGACATTAGCATTGTTTCATAGAAAACTCCTGCTGGGAGAAAATTGAGTTTGTACAGTTGCAGTACAGTAAAGTTTGTGATTTTCGGCTTTAACAAGACGTTTACCAGTTATATAAAACACTGTTTGACGACACTGATCTGCAACAGCTCACTATATAATTGATATATATATATATATATATATATATATATATATATATATATATATATATATATATATATATATATACAGACGTGTTTACATACGATACGGTGTCTGCTTTAAAATATATTACACAAGTGCCTTTAAGTCTAATTTTGATCAAAAAACTAAAGTTAGTATTGTTTGGCTGAGCCAGCAGGGTGAAGGAAAGAGTAACGTTAGCGTTAATGAAAGGAGATATTTAACGTACGCTTCCGGAGTTTAAAGATCCGCTCCCCATCATTACCGAGTCTGCCATTTTAGAACTCTAGTGGTTTTTCCTCTGATGTTTAGCATTCGCAAATAAACTCATTGTGCGTTCTGCGTTTGCTAAAAACTGTATTTGGTGTTTTTATATTGGGCGAAAATGGCAACCCTATCAACATTTCCAACAGGGCGACCGGAAGGTTGTTGTTTTCTGTGCAATTCCAAAATAAAAGTCAAACAAAGAAATAACTGTTGCATAGCCATTTCCTAAAAATGAAAGCAAAAGTAGAAATTTGCATTTTTTGAAGTCATCGTCAATACGGTATTGTAGCATGCTCATAAAACTTTTATTAAGTTATTCTAAAGACTTCTAAATATGTTATCTTTATTTTTATTTTAATGATTTGAATAAAAGAACCATCACACACGAACTAGCTGTTAATGTTAATAGTTAAATGTCGAACATCTTACAGAAATGTCAAGTCTTTTAGATAACAAAATGTTCACATCCTTGCTTTCTACATGATTCTTTAGTAAAACGGTAAACTGACACAGAAGATTTAATTTTTAAGTTCTGACCTGAAAACGAGGTACAAAAGCTAGGTAAATCAGTTTTAATCCTAGTTTTATTATAATATTTGAATCGTGGGAGTAGACACAAACACCTCAGACCTTAATGCTACCAAATTATTATATTATTTTATGTATTTTTCATATAATTTGACATGTTAATGGGTGTCTGTGTGTTTTTATGTTCTGCGGAGCAGGAATCTGCTGAAAAACAGCATTCATGCTGAGTCAGGCCCAATTATCTTTTAATCTTTTCATGTTAAAAAATTATAAATAAATAAAAATTTTCCATGGAGAGCACAGATGATGGTTGCTTAGCAAAGGCTGATACCACAAATGCTTTGAAATGAGTGGACAAAGCGAGACAGACCAACAAGGCTTTAAAACGGATGAGGATAATAAACTTTCATCATGATGATGAACTAAAATGTCACATAAGTGCAGTAGACATGATAAAACCAAAACAATGTCTTGTCTTGAGAATATCTGAGAAAGACTGTAAAGGACCCACTTTCTTCTGGAAATAGCTCATTTGCATTTAAAGAGATGCACATTTTTTGGGTCATTTTTTTTTTTGCAGCATGACATAAAAAAATAAATGATCTGTAGCTTAATTTGAGCTGTAGCTGCACATTCTGTGGACACAGAAATGCATTACGCCTATTTATTATGAAGCAAAATTGGTCTCCTTTATTGTGTCTTAGTATATCCGGTAGATCTGCATTCTGCATATGGGGCAGAAGGTTTAGCTTAATGTGTTAAAGGTCAGATTTGCCAATCAAAATGTATCATTGTGAAGCAATCTCAAATGACAATATTTCTGTAGTAAATTTATATTTATTGATTTAAATAAATAAATATTGTGTCATTCTATTTTCTAAAGATTGGAAATCATAACAGTAATTCAAATAATTCATTTTATTGCAGCGATTGCTTTAGATGTAGGAAATAAAAAGAAGTGTAAATATAGTTGTGTGTGTATTGTGAAAAATGCTTTGCAACTATTTATCTAGGGGTATATTAATATTCTATAATCTAGATTTTGAAAAATAAATATATAACAATAATAACTAATTCTGCGGTGTTAACAGCAGCTGATTTTATGTTGTTGTCTGTAAAAACAGCTTTATCTGTACTTCTCTATGATAATATGACTTAACATATTACATTTAAAGTTTATTTAAACAGAAAAAAAAGTTATTTTTTATTTGTGTGTGTGAGGGAGGGGGTGTATTTGGTGCACATTGACATTTGCAAAGTATATTTTCCACAGCAAGGTTTAGTTGTCGGGCATTTATTTTGAAAGTCGTTTCAGCGGGCGGCCATCACGCTGGTGTCGCTATTTTCAACTGCCTCACCAGCTAAAGATTCACTCATCACGTCCATAATCGCAACACAAGATTGTCGTCTTGGTTTCCCAGCCTCGATTCCTTACTGATGAGGGACTTTCGGCCCGACTGACGCAGGGAGATGGGGGTACTCAATATTTCAGACCAGGTGAGCCATGGTAAAATCCCACGAATGGCGTAAATCAAGCAGTTTAGTGTTCGCTCTTTGCGCTTCTGTGCAGAGCCTGACATGTTAGCTAGCTGCCTGACGGTGGATTATCCAATCTTCCACACAATTCCTCGCACCAATACATGCTTCTTGTAATGCATTTGATGTGGAAAAAATAATTGTATACTGTTTATTGATGGTAGGGATATCAAAAAGGAGTTTAAATGCAAAAACAGGCTTTTTATCACGCCCAGACGTTAGCCAGCTTGCTAACCTAATGAGCTGGGTGTCAGCCAGCCGCATTGGAAAACATCTATTGTGTGTTTATCTTTATAAAACGCAAACATATATTAATATGTTTCGAATATCATTGCGTTTTTCTTGAGAACTGGCTTTGTATAATAACACTGAACGCGTATTTATTTTATCAACGTAGATGCGTTAGCAGTGTGTGTTGTATTTGCAGCTAGTCAATGACAATCCTTAATAATCATCATGTTTGCTTGTGATCACACAGTTATGCACTTCAAAATGGACACTTACAGTTTAAAAGATGTTGCTCTATCTAAAACTTTGGATTTGTTGTCATGTTTCATAACAGTATTATAACATCCACCTTTTTTCCTCCTCCAGCCGCCTCTGGTCCAGGCCATATTTAACCGAAATGCAGATGAAGTGAAGTTATTTTTGCACAAGAAAGATGAAGTCAATGCACTGGTATGTTGGTGGATGGCTTGTGATAGTGTGTGCATGAATAATGTGTCATTTGCATAGCAATCAGTACGAACGGACAGATGACTGTACATATGGGGTGTGTGGGCCTTTAAAACTGTCGGTGTGGAAAGAAAGCCTAAAAAAAAATCTGTTTTCCTCAATATTTTGTGTGTGTCAGGACCAAGAGCGCCGCACACCTCTTCATGCTGCTGCCTGGCTGGGGGATGTTCATATAATGGATCTTCTCATCAGTGCAGGTATGAGGTTCAACAGCCACTAACATTACATGCAGTTATGTTTTTGTTTATAAAACAGGTAGGGCTGGTCTCAAATGCAGGTCAGTGTAACATTCAAGCATTGCTTTGGTTTACAAAATGTGACATGTAGTTGTGTGTCACACCCATTTGGCCAAATGCAGTCTTTAACTAGGTTTTCCAAAGCAAGGGTTTGAGAATTGATGAAAAGATAATAATTAACTGATTTAAATGTGATTAACTGTGTAAACTGTCTCTTGTCAAGTTGTGATTATTAAATTAAAGGTTGAAATTTAGGTATGTAGTCTGCAGTGCTGCTTGTTTAGGGGGGAAGAGTGGCACTTGGATTTCATGCATATAACAATAAAAGCTTGATGCTGTATTAATTTGTTTTTGCCCCTACCTATCTTTATATTTATGTGCCTTGTTTAATAATAAAAAAGTAATGGCATCAAAAAATGCCAACAAATTCTTTTATCGTATAGTTTGTTTTCACGATGCCGAAATTCAGATAGAGGGCAGGAAGTGATTCTTCTGCATAGGAATCGCTATCAGAACATCAAAATGTTTCTGTTCAGAACAAAAAAGAAACGCAATACATTTTGCGACAAAACTAGACAATTATGATTGTGAAGCACTTTTTCCCCCTCGCCAAAATAAATAATTAATAATGTAGACTATGTTTCCATGCTTTTTGTATGCTTTCATCTGTTATTTTGTGATGTCTGGAAGATTTTTGCATGGGGGAAAACTACAGTTTTTTATAATAAGCATGTTTTTGAACCACATAGAAAAGTGTATAATGCGTACAACTCTTTGTTAATGAATGCTACCAAATACTGCAGCATGGTAAACTGTAATAAATGCTTTAACATTGGTGTAAACTGTGGTGCATTGTGATGGTGTAAAATTATAGCATAGATATCTAAAGCCCAACATATATAGTTATCTTTTGTTTATATCTCCTTTGAGATAAGGTATGAATTGCAAAAATATGGACTTTCCTTTATGTCTCCCTTTCAACTTTTAACTTCCTGCCCTCCATCTGAATTTCGTGTGTCGCCAGAACCACATGATTGAAAATATGCAAGATACAATCTAAAATCTCATGCTGTTAACAACTGTTTAAATACCATAAAGTTCGTCAGGAATATTCAGAACAAGAATCTTTGGTTGATTTATTAAAAAAAAACAATAAAGAAAAAAAAAACTTTGGAGGGTTATTGAGAAAATAAACTGTAAGTACTTTGTCTAGGAATGACAGATTTTGCTCCCTTCATCAGTTGTTGATTGAATGGAAGCAGATCGAGTCTGAGTATACATAGTTCTGAAAAAGTGCCATTTAAATAGAGCGCTAACTTAAACCAAAATTCCCCAATTTATAACACATGGTGTATTCCTATATTTGTATTGGGTGAAAACACATGCAAATGCTTGCTATGAATCTAAAATCTATTGAGAAACCTAAAGCTGGCAGACCATTAAATTGTGGTGATGCACATAAAAAAAAAACAAATGAAAACAATATAGTGTTAATGATATAAACGTGTTACTTTACGTGACTTTAAAACAAAACATAAGATTTGAGCAGGTTTGCCTTAAAAACTAATTAGGAAAACATCAAATAGACTATAATTAATTTTACCAATCCCTGCATTCAACAACTAAATACAAACTGTTATGCAAAATTCACTTTTACGTTTCGTTTGAAGTTTGTGTAAACAACTAGTCTATAATAGTATAAATGTCATCCCTGGATAAAGCTCGTAGCTTGACTTCAGCTCTGAGTTCGAACCTTCCTATCAAGGTATTTTGAAATAGGAGATTACATAAATCTTAAATGACATAAAAAGGAGGAGATGGAGAGGTGGAAGGAGTGCAGGACAAAAATTCAATTGGAACAGTGCAATGGCTGCTACTTGTATACACGTGATTATGACAGACACTTTTGAATAATTAGGCTCCTCCTGAACTTCATGTAGTGTGACGTGCTCATTATCCAGGTTTACCTACAACAGTGTTTCTCAACCAAGTTCCTGGAGAACCACCAGCTTTGTACATTTTCCATGTCTTTTTACCCAAATACACCTGATTCATATCATCGGCTCATTAGCAGAGACTGAAAGACCTGTAATGGGTGTGACAGACAAGAGGAGACATCCAAAACATGCAGTGTTGGTGTTTCTCAAAAAAAACGTGGTTGAGAAACACTGACCTACAGTGTGATTAGAACATGTCAACTTTTCTAAATGCTCAATCGCACTGGCAAACCAAAAAAAAAATCAGCTTGACTCTTTGTATGCCTGTATAAACTTTTCAGTTGTGATTGTAAACTAACTTTCTGTTTAAAATGAAGGCGCTTCTCGTGCAGACTAGCGTTTTAAATGTTTTGCAGCAAAACAAACTCCATTCACACTACACAGCCTAAAACGCATGATGTGTGAACGTTCAGGGTCACTGGGCATGCTCTTATTTTGTACCTGCAGTCTGCCACATGTGCAATATTCATATGAGAGTTGCTTGACAAATCAAGGAGTGATATGCAAAAGTCCAGGAGCCGGTTGCACCAGCAGTGCGTAAGTTAAAACATGACTTAAAGGAACACTAAGTTACAATTTACACATTACTTAATATTTTTGTGTTGCACCACTGGACTTAGTTTAAACAACGCTACGTTCTAACTAAAGATTTACGGCAGCATCCCCCATGTGTAACGGTAGAAACGATATGACCGCAAGATTAGTTTACATTGAGGAGCTCACAATGACAATGAAGAATGATCTTCCTCTACTTACAGCCTTCATATCCTCCTAAATCTTGCAATGGTTTCGGTTTGTAAAGTAAGAGTTTAATTTTCTCTCAATGTGTTAGATGTGATTAAAACGAGAATTTATTCATGACTGACTTTTTCTTTCTGCTCTTTTCTCTTTCATATGTAGGAGATAAAAAAAGCAAGTATGTTTTGATAACTTTGTGTATTCCACGTGCATTCACATTAGCTCACGATGCAGGTGTGTGCGTCATATTTTTTTAGTGACTCACTGTAATTAATTTACTATAAAAACTTAATTTGTAATTTAGTTTTCATAGAAGAGTCATATACAAACGCATTAGTTGCAGAATGTTAAAGCAGTTTAACGATTTGAATGCTTTTATTGCATATTACGGCATTTGATGCAACTACGCATGACTTTACGTAGAGTTTACGACTTACTACCATTTGCCCTAAGACCAAGTGGTGCATTTAGTTACTAACTAGCTAGTAGTTACTAAGCCCTAAGTGAGGACTTTACGTTCCAGTTTTAGAAAGAACTTACGAACAGCTGGTGCAACCCTACCCAGAAGACCAATTAAGTGATTCTGAACAGTAATGCTTCGTTTTCAATAGTCTGCATTTAGATCCATCGATGAAAGAGAACATCAGCATTTCCAAATGAAAACTAGGTCTTTAGCCTTTTCAGAATGCTCTTTTTTTGTGAGTCGAAGATTCCAAAGTAGTGGACACCATGCATAACTGTAATAAAACTTAAAATAAATAATTAAATAAATAAAAACATGTTAATGTAAACTGTGCCTAAATACCTCAGACTAATGCAGAATCATTGGCACATGATGGCAGAAGCTTTGTTTGATGTGGTTTGTTTGTGGGGAATATCCATTGCAAAAATTTCCTTAGAGCACAAATAATGGTTGCTTGGCAAAGACGGACACCACAAGTGGTTTGAAATGAGTGGACAATTGAGTTTTCCATGCTAATGGTCCCTAACAGGTCTCTTCACATTTGTTTATACTAACAAGGCTTTGAAACGTTTGCAGATAATAAACTTTAATCATGATGATGAACAGCAATGTCACATGAGTGCAGTAGACATGATAACCAAAACAATATCTTGTCCTGGAAATATCTGAGAGAGAGCCTGTAAAGGCCCCACCCTCTTCTGGAATACCTCATTTGCATTTAAAGAGATGCACAAAATTTTTTTGGCCTTTTTTGCAGCATGACATAATAAATAAATGATCTGTAGCATAATTTGAGCCGTAACTGCACATTCTGGGGACACTGAAATATATCGCATCTGTATATTGTGAGGCAAAATTGAGCCTTTAGTATACTCTGTAGATCTGCATTCTGCATATGGGGCAGAAGGTTTGGCTTAATGTGTTGAATGTCAGACTTGCCAATCAAAATCTTTGTGAAGCAACCTCAAAAGACAATATTTCTGTAGTAAATTAACATTAGAGAACAGAAACATTATTGATTAGAATCTCATTGTTTATACTTAAAAGTCTAAATCTGTTAAAAAAATACTAATATAACTGTCTTATGAAGGCATAAGAGGCTTTCCTTTATTTTGAGCATTGTCACATGTCTGCTGCTTGACAAGCCTAACAATGCCCTTCATCAATGTATGCATTTACAGTGTAGAAAGACTTATTATTTGCACATAATAATTTTTTTCTCCTTTATGTAACCTCACTCAAAAGGTGCGAATGTCAATGCAAAGGACCACGTGTGGCTAACACCATTGCACAGAGCAGCTGCTTCCAGAAACGAGGTGAGCAGCCCATGTGATTTATACGCCTGAGTGGAGACTCAATCCGAGTAACGGCTTACTCATGCCATTGTTTAGCATTTTAATATGATTCATGCATTGTGTTTTTCTTTTACCCAGAGGGCCGTGGGGCTGCTGCTGAGGAAGGGAGCTGACGTAACGGCACGGGATAAGTACTGGCAGACACCACTGCACATTGCAGCAGCTAACCGAGCCACGCGTTGCGTCGAGACCTTGCTGCCCCATGTGAGCAGCCTGAATATGGCCGACCGCACGGGCAGAGCACCACTGCATCATGCTGCTCAGAGTGGATACCAGGAGGTAGGGTGGAATTAGTCATCTAATGCACTCGGGTGATTTAAAAGGCAGGGTGGGCCACTTCAGCCCTCAACATCTTTATTTCTGCACTCTGCACACTCGAAAGTGCAAAATGCTATTAGAGTCAATACCTATACTTTCATGTTGACATGTCTCTTTGTGGATATTTTCATGTAGATTTTCAAATTTCTTTGGAAATGTAGTTGACAATAGCTGTTTTCAGTTGTAGTTTCTTTAATAAATTCCTTTTTGTACTTGTAAATTAGTTTTTTAGACTGGTCACAATTATTAATGTCTAGACTATTCGTCAACATAATTGTGAATTCGGGCACAATCAAAACAATTAGCTTTTTTATGTTTAAAACGTATCATAAATGTAATAAAAGTTGAATATAATTAAAAATATTAATTGAATATTTTCATTTGTCTATTTATTTCAGATTGAGTTTATACATTTTTTTTTTAATATTTTGTTTTTATAAGCACAAAACAGAACAAAAAACATTTATACAATCTATAATACTTTTTATACAAATAACAAGTACAAAAAAAAAGTACTTAAATAAATTAATTGAACAAGACGTAAAATAATAATTAAAAAAACACCAGTCCATCCAATCATGCCTCATGTATAGAGTAAAAAATATGGTGTATATTATTTACACAATATGATTGGATGGACTGGGTGTTTTTTATTATTATTATTTTGTGTCTTGTTTAATTAATTTACTTATTTAAATAGTTTTACTTGGTCAAACTCAAAACATTGAAAATGGACTGGAAAAGTGATGCCTGTTTCACACCGCAAGCGTGAGCAGCACGTATGGAGAGAGGAAGCAGCGCACGGGCATTTGCCAGATCAGCAGCTTTGCACAGATTGCAAAGCTGCTGATTGCCTTTACGGTCATTCAATGTGTTCTTTTGGAAATGATCAATGCACTATCACTTTAATTGAGCGTGAGCAGTGTGGCAAAAACAGACCCACTGCTGAAACTATTGCAGCACTGCTGCTTCAGTGCTGCTCAAACTCTGTGCTGACCCGCTGTTTCTGCATGCAGTATGAAAGCTCTAATCTGTTAACATGGACGCCGAAAACATACGCTTGCGATGCGAAACTGGCGTGAGAGTGAAATTGTCTATGAATCATAATTGCCGTGCTCCAGATTTTTTCAAACCTTTTAGATGCATCAGCCACAGCAAAATAAATTCTTTCAAGCTTAAAGAGCAGCAACCATTTGAGATTAAAATATTTGAGATTTACATATGCACAGTTACAATAATTGAAATATTTTATAATTTAGCTGCAGGCACATTCTTCTTATTTGCTCATCTGAATACATGTATCGACACATATTATTTTATAGCAAAATATTAGCGCCATAATGTTATTAACAGTAATGCTATTTAATGACTTCACAGTAAATACTGCCTTTACTGCGAATTTGTTTGACTAAATATTTGACTAAATTGACTAATACTAAACATAGGCTTGGGCGATATTACGGTATTATGGTATACCGCGGGATCTAAAAATAGCAACGGTGTCAGTTTCAATACCTACCTAAAACTTGCAAAATCAGCCAGATCAGAACTCTGCATCTCGGCCTGTAGCAGTAGCAGTAAAACGGTGTTCAGTGCTGCTGGACGCACATGAGCGCAAGACTGCGCTAAAGCCAGTGGATTTAATAATGTTCCTCCACAAACACACGTAGCCTAATCTTGGTGAGTAAAGGATTTTAAATTATAAATAAATATTAATTAAACCATATAATCATAATGTAGACAGAGTATACAGACTAATGGTGGCATTATTCTTTTAATATTCAGCTTCAATTTAGTTACTGCCAAAATACCCGTCATCATTTAGAGTTTATTTGATTTGTTAAGCAAGATTTCTTTTCATTGGTGTGTTGGCCAATTTAAAGGCTAAGTGCATGTAGACCTATAGAGTGCTGAGATTTTACGATGTTACAGAGGACTTATTTTATTTCTTTGTTCCAACTTTCAAGTGGGATATAGTCTACGTTTGTTACGAATAAATGCTGTTAAAACATATAAATGACTCATTCTTGAAAAAACGCATTAGAGCTGTGAGGGCTCGGGCTTTATAAAGCTGTCAATCAAAATGTACGTGTCGGACTCGGGACCTATCGGGTATAATTTTTATGGCCCGATTACAGCTCTCTGCATTCCCGCGGGAGCCGGCCAGATTTCTTAAGGTGTGGGAGTAAATTTCTGAATAAATCGCGGGAGAGATGTGTGTGTGTTTGTGTAAGACAGAGAAAGTCTCTCTCTCTCTCTCTCTGCCTAAGGTCGCATAGAATGTATTCAGTTTCTGAATGGTTTAGGCTCAAGCCAACAGTTTGGTGACGCTGTCTGAGCCTTACGTCATAATTTTTTTTATTACGCCGGTAATACCGGATACCGGGGTAAAATATGGAGGCGGTTTGACGGTCTCAAAATTTGGACACCGCCCAAGCCTAACTAAACATGACTAAATATTTATTATATTAACTCTTTGAAAGTCGCATGTTGTGTTCATAATCTTATTAAAGAAAATACTTGGTTTTAATTATTTGTATGTATGTAAATTGTTATAGTTATTAAATATACTCTTTATGCAATTTAAATATAATGGTCAATTTATACAAACTCTTTAAATATTTTGTGGAAACAATATGAAAACTGTTACATATAACAGTTATATAAATATTTCCATTTATTTATTCATTTTTAACAATCCGTCATCAGTATATAGTTTTGAGTGCTTTTATTTACTTTTTAATACTGCAAAAATGACCTTTGACTTTCCTAGTGCGTTTGAATTTAAAGGTTAAAATTGTGGCTTCACTTGTTTGGTTATTAGTTTCTTATGGTTGCCTTTAATGTCCAGATGGTCCTGATAAAGCCATACAATGTGACTTTGTGTGCTTTTGCTGCCAACTAGATGGTTAAATTGCTGCTGAACAAGGGAGCCAATCTGAGTGCCAGTGACAAGAAGGACAGGCAGCCCATTCATTGGGCAGCTTACCTTGGTACGTGCTTTCTATGTTTTCTGTAGCTAAATAGCAGCTTCCCTTGCATTAGATTGTTTTGTCCTATTTAGCTACTTTGTGGTAATTGCTGGAAGTTGTAGTAATGTGAACCTGTTTGTTTCTCCTAGGACATCTGGAGGTGGTTAAGCTGCTGGTGTCTCAGGGCTCGGATAAGAGCTGTAAGGATAAGCGAGGATACACCCCTCTCCACGCTGCTGCTGCCAGTGGCCACGTCGATGTGGTCAAATACCTGTTACGCAATGGAGCCGAGGTCAGCGCCAGGCCTTGACATTAAGCTTTTCCGCTTGTCAAGTGGACAAGTAAAACCTATTGTTTACTTGCCAAAGATTAAAGGGATAGTAAACAAAAATGAAAATTACTCACTCACTTAGTGATTTACTCACCCTTTGGTTGTTCAAAACCTATTTGAGTTACAAAAAGATATTTTGAAAAATGTGGGTTGCTGGCGCCCGTCGACTTCCATAGTAGAAAATGTTTCTTCATAGATTCTTGAAAAACTGGAGTGCAGGATGTCATCAGTACTTTGGGGCTTTTTTCCCCGGAGAAGTAAGATCATTGGTTTACAGCATGTTTTCTTTACAATATATATTTATGTCTGTTCCTCAGATTGATGAGCCTAATGCCTTTGGAAACACTGCTCTCCATGTGGCCTGTTACACGGGACAGGAGGCCGTAGCCAACGAGCTGGTCAACCGTGGGGCCAATGTCAACCAGCCCAACCACCGTGGCTACACCCCCCTGCACCTCGCTGCCGTGTCCACCAACGGGGCTCTCTGCCTGGAGCTGCTGGTCAACAACGGTGCTGATGTCAACATGCAGGTCTGGTTTGCCAAAGACAACATTTTTATTTTTATTTTTTCTTGTTTCAGTAATATTAATAATCAGTGATGAATATACTTATGAATAATCAGCTATAAGTATATTTGATTGCATGTTTCGTTTGTCTTTTCTGCAGAGTAAAGAAGGGAAAAGCCCTTTGCACATGGCAGCCATTCATGGACGTTTCACTCGCTCTCAGATCCTCATTCAGAATGGTTAGTTTTTTCTTTTTCTAATTGATTTTCATTTGTTTTTATGAGCTGTAACTATCTCTGACTCCTGCTGTCGCCTTTTCAGGTGGGGAGATAGACTGTGTGGACAGATATGGCAATACTCCTCTTCATGTTGCTGCTAAGTACGGCCATGAGCTGCTTATTAGCACCTTAATGACAAATGGTGCTGATACAGCCAGGTAAAAAAAACATGCATTTGTAGAATATGATTTGTTTTGCTTTTTTCTATTTGTAAGCTTTGAAACAAGTGATAAACAAATGCCAAACTCCTCCTTCAGAGATTTTGTCTTATAAAATCTTTTTCCTTTTATCAATGTTTACATTTTAAACAAGTGGCAGGGGGAGTGTGATGCATTAAAAAAAATAAATTGAATGAAATAAAAGCTCAAACAGACTTAAGACATTTTAAGACTTGATTTGATTAAGTGATTTTACCAGATGTCATATTGGACATACAAGAATAACCCATGTTTTTTTACTCAAAGGTAAAGACCCTACTCGATGTTTGTACAGCACAATTCCTCTTGCAGTTAAATATATTCTACTGGGCTGTCCTGCTTGTAATGATTCCGGAAGACTTTTTTTTATGAAATGAACTCTCTTAAGGACATTTTTTTAGCAAAGAGACACCAGGAAAAATGTTAGAATTTTTATCATTTATTAGCACTAAAAATCTTATTTAATCTATGTGTTTTATTTATTTGTTTGTTGATTTTTAATTGTATATTTATTATTAAAAAAAAATTTCGTAGTGAGAGGTTAAAGTCATATTCCAGAAGGGGCTTTTTCAGTGGTGGAACTTTTTAATTTTTCCTAGAACTATTCATAGAAATGAATCCATAAAAATGAATTTTTTATTTTATTTTATTATTTTTTTTTTTTTGGCATGTTGGAACAGCAGGATCTAGCAACAATTGTTTCTATATGATCTGCTTATTGAGAAACTGGTTTAGATTATACTTTAGGGTAGGGTATGTTTTATGTAGATCCTAGAACTACCTGGCGTGAACGCTCCTAATATTTCTAATTTTTCTTTTGCATGTTTTAAAATTCATGATTTTCTTAGTTAAGCATTTATGCTAAATTTTATCAGTGGGGATAAATCAGTGTTTACATTTATTATGTTACTATTATTTTTTTATTATCAGTGTTCATTTCAAGTTTGATTTATTTGTACTCTTTTTTTTTAATTATTATTATTTTAGTACAAATTTATGTTTATTTAGGGTTTTATATCAATACTTGGTTGGTGAGTGTGTGGTACTCAAATGATAGTAATGAAAAATACATTTATAAGTATTATTAAAATTTTGTTTAATACAGACCTCTTGGCATATATTTCACTGTATTTGTTTTACATTTATCTCTTTCCTCTTACTCCTGCTGATAATATATTTAAAAGTGCTTTAACTTGCCTGTCTTTGCATACACGTTCAGAAATTTGCATTTACAAAGAAAGTAGATCTTGTCTTTTGCAAGTTTGCATGTAATCTGCTTCCACTACATGTATAAATAATTTATTTATTTGTGCTCTTCCTATAGACAAGGGATTCATGGGATGTTCCCTCTACACTTAGCTGTGCTTTACGGGTCCTCTGACTGTTGTCGTAAGCTACTTTCCTCAGGTACACAGAATTCTTTTCTATTTTATATGCTAATTTGTGTAATTTATATGTACAATTGTATTTACACAGCGCTTCATATTTACCATTTAGTGTCTGATTAAACTGATGGGTAGTTCCCATGAACAGCTTCACTCATGACTGATTTGCTTCCAGCTAAAATGAGTGTGTGTGTATTTGCAGGTCAGCTCTACAGCATTGTGTTGTCAATGAGTAAGGAACACGTGCTCTCGGCCGGATTTGACATCAATACCCCAGACAACTTTGGGAGGACCTGTCTACACGCTGCTGCCTCTGGAGGGTGAGACTGCAGCTCTACTTAGAATGGGCTATTTAAAAATTCACTGGCCCACTTTATGTCAGGTGTCCCCAATAACAATGTTTTATGTGCCCAAATGCCAACCAAGGTCATTATGCTGATGCGACTTGACAGCCTGCATCTAAAAAAGTGATTGAAAAGAACGTTTAAAAGATTTATTTATGCCTCTTCAATTTTCTTCTTTTCAGAAATATTGAATGTCTCAACCTGCTCTTAAGCAGTGGAGCTGACATGAATAAGAAGGACAAGTTTGGAAGGTACAAATCTCCTTGCTTTTGTTCAAATGAAACTTTTTTTTTTTTTTTTTTCTTTTTATGTTCTGTTTTCCATTTTTATGTAACTTCTTGTCATTTGTGTACCTCTTTGCATAAAAAAGAATTATAGAAAAAATTGCTATAATTTCCTATAAACATGTATGAATCTGCATGTTGAAATCATTGCTTAAGCCATGTACCAAGCACTTACCATTTTTTTCAGCTAAAACTACAATCAAAAACTGTCAAATACACTAGATATGTAACTCATATAGTTTTAAATGGGAGAAAAAGTGTAATAGTCAGTCTGGTGAATAAAGCCTCGCCTTCTAGTAGGCCTAAATGGCCAATCATTGATTGCTGTGAACTTAATTTTCCAGGGTAGGGTTGCACCAGCTGTTTGTAAGTTCTTTCCTAAACTGGAACGTAAAGTCCTCACTAGGGGCTTAGTAACTACTAGATAGTTTGTAACTAAATTTGTTCTCACTTAGGTTGCACCACATGTTCTTAAGGCCAAACGTAGTTAGTAGGTTGTACTGCGTAATATTATGCTTAGTCCCATTGAATGACGTAATATCCAATAATAAGCATTTAAAACTGCTTTAAAATTCTGCAACTAATGCATCTATATATAACTGTTCTATGAAAATTAAATGATAAATTACATCTTTATATTACATTACAGTCAGTCACTAATAACAGATGACGCTCATACCTGCATTACTAGCTGTGAATGCACGCGAAATACACATGAAGTTATCGAAGCATTAAACTTGATTTTTTTTTTATATATTTCCTAGGTGTGAAAAAGAAAAGAGCAAGGAGAAATTCTCATTTTAATTGATTGATACAATTAATAAAAAACACTCCCTGAAAGAAAATTTAACTCTTCTTTCACAAACCAAAAAAAGAAATTGAGATTTTTGGGAGGGAAATAAGGCTGTGAGTAGAGGAAGATCATTCTTCATTATCATCATGAGCTCCTCATTAGCAATGTTTTCATCCAAAGATGTGAATTAACTTTTATGCGCAAAACTGGGTTATCGCACAAAAGACGTGCGAAAAAAGCAGCGTTTCCATCCAACGAGTCCAACAAACAAAATCGTCACTTTCTGATTATCTGGTGCCTAATATCAACCGTAAAAACGGAATACGCTGCATAAGGAGAAGCTGTGTGAATCTTTTCTTTATTTAATTAATGTCTTGCGCCTCAGAAGACAATCCAGGCATGCAGTGAATGTACAGAGCACAGACGCTCTTGATCTGGAGGTCATTAATAATATAATAACATTAATACTGAAATGGTTGAGGCATTTTAGAATGACTACAACAACATTTCAGATGTTTTACAGTTTGCTCAGCTTGCTTATTTGTCCATTCACACAGATTATCATCACATGATCTCTTACCTTTTCTTACCTTTTTTAATGCACATACTGGAATTTGTTCGGTAAATGTGTTTCCATCGCAGGTTATATGCATCTTTTCTTATCTAATAGAAAGTTTGTCCTACTCCAGTTATGCAAATTTTTTAATGCGCATCTTGCGTTTTTTAAATTTTTATATATATATATATATATATATATATATATATATATATATATATATATATATATATATACACGCATATCCAAAATGTGCATACAAATAGGTGGATGAAAACATAGCTAATGTAGACCGGCCCCAAGGGAGGGGCTTGGACCAGACGTGTATTTTTATGTCAGTGTCTACAGATTTTGTATGGTTTGAATGTTTAGAAACAACATAAGAAATTTTATTGGTGATTCCAAATATGAAATGTAATGCTTTTGGAGAATTTGATGTTTCCTCATTCAAACAGAATGCCTGAGAATACTGCATGAGAGATGTTTTAAAAATGTCCGTAGAGTGAAAAGACTTGCCTTCAGGGGACAAAATGCATTCAAAATGAAAGCTTTCGTTTAGACAAAATTAAATAAGGTTTTTTCGATTAGTTAATTCACCTAACAAAAGAAAATTCTGCCATTATTTGCTCAACCTCATGTCGTTCTAGCCCCTGTGAACTTCTGAGGATTTTTTTTTTTCTTAAGTCTGTACTATAAACACACAACAATTCAGATAATTACAATTGCAATAAATGAATCCATATGCAGAGAGTGGTTTAACTTGTGTTCTGTAGATATATGACCACTTTTTATGATGAACAGATAAAATTTAGATTTTTATCACCTATAAACAATGATTAGCAAATGACCTTTACCCTAAAGGAAAGCTAAAATGAATTCTGTTCGTCATTGAAAACTCTTAAGACTGAAATTATTTATGAAAGTTTTTGTTTTGAAGGTAGACTTTTTTTTTTTTCATTGGATGACCCTTGCCTCAAAGTTGCGTATATAAATAAACCTTTTATAAATAAACATTTGGTAGTCAAATCTCAAGGTGTTTCTAATGTAATGCATAAATTCTTATTTTTATTATATATATATATATGTACATATATATATATATATATATATATATATATATATATATATATATATATATATATATATATATATATATTGTCATGATATTTTTAAAAATCACTTGTATGCTGATTGTTTAAATGTCTCTCCATCAGGACTCCTTTGCACTATGCGGCTGCTAACGGCAGGTATCAGTGTGTGGTGGTTCTGGTTGGAGCAGGGGCGGAGGTCAATGAGCGGGATCGTTCCGGCTGTACACCTTTACACTACTCTGCTGCATCAACTGCATTCTGCAGGTGAAATCTGCTTACATTGTATCTCATCATATCTTCTTGCATCTATTAAATATAATGGGGTATCAGCATTACTGATCTCTGGTATGTTTCTCAGAACGGACCGACCCCATGCCAGCACTCATCAGAACCAAGAGGACGGGGAGAAGGAATCATTTCTGTAAGTCCATAACACTACCAAAATATTTCCAGACATGCATAAAGTTTAGTTTGTCTTCTGTAAAGCACAAATTAAAATATTTTTAGATTAACTTGTGGATTTGAAATGACATGATGGAGAGTAAATGATGGCAGAATTTTGATGATGACATTTACACTAACATTACAACATTTATACACAATTTTTGGGATCAGTAAACTCTTTTTTCCCAATACTTTAAATGCTTGTATTCAGTTTCAAATAGAAGTTTTGTTCTTTCTGTTCATCAAAGAATTGTAAAAAGTCTTTCCGGTTTTTGTCTTTAATTCAACTCAGTTAAGCATAGCCTTTGTTAGCATAAGAACAACTTTATTAGTATTGTTATTATAGGTTATTTCATGCTTTGAATCTTTGTGTTTGAATACTTGTAGGTGTGTGGAGCACTTGTTGGACAATGGTGCTGATCCATGTTTGTGCAACACTAAAGGGTACAGTGCTGTGCATTACGCTGCAGCCCACGGAAACAAGCAAAACCTGGAGCTGGTGAGATTGAGCAATGTCCCCTGTGATTTAAAAATATGAATAAATGGTTATTACAAAGCACTTAACACTCATCACTTTTTGCTCTTGATTCTGCAGCTTTTGGAGATGTGCTTCAACACACTAGGAGACAAAGAGAGCAATGGGTCCATCAGCCCACTACACTTGGCGGTATGTCCAAAACATCTTAAAATCAAATCAGGCCTTTATTTGTTACATACTCTTTTGTATAGTGAAACTATAGTTATATAGTGAAACACAAACATCACAATTTTCAGGGGAAGACATGTCACAGGAGGTAGCATTTAGAAAGGGAATTAAGATACATCAGGAGAGTCAGGTATAAAAAATAAAAATTCCCTTTAACCTTACTCTTAAATTAGGACAGGGTGAGAACAGGGAGAAAAAACAGCCCAATCTAGCACAAAAGCACACAGACAAGACACAACATTGACACAGGGGATGATAACAGTGGATATGGATACAGTCCGATTAGGGCGGGCAGCCATCTGGTCCTGCAGCCATGAAGGCGCTGGTTGCATACCCGCCCACTCCTCCCTTGGGTGAAAGCACACGAAGGCGTTTGGATGAGGGGATCGGTAGTGAATGTTTATCTGTAGTTGTGTATGTGTGTATAAGCCTGTAGAGTCCAACAGGTGTCCTTATAGGCAGCTGGAATTTCAGAGCTGATTTTCTCATTGTCGTTACTAAGATGAAGCTGATTGTAAAAATGATCAATCTATTATTGCTTAAATCTATTTTTTGTTTGTTTTAAAGTAACAGGACAATTTATAACATTTGTTGTCATTCACATTTTCATTATTATTTATGTGCTTACAGGATGAGTAGTCTATACACTACAAAAAACACAATTCTTAATTTTTTTGTCTGTTTCTAGTCTAAATATCAAAATCTTAAATCAAGAAGCATTTTCTAGACATGCAAAAAATTGTCTCGTTTTAAGAAATAAGCTAAAATTATTTTTTTTCCTTAAAACAAGACAAATCAAAGTAAGAAAAGCACATTTTGCAGCATTTAATCGATTAAGCATTCGTTTATGAACAGAACAGATGATATGAGACTGTCACTCTACATGTTCAACAGCTCACAAAGTACCAGCAGAGAGAGCTGAAAACACAACATCTGTGCTTGATATGAGCAAAGTAATATTGGAAAAATACAATAAGACTAAAATATGAACAAAACACTTCAGAGATTGTCATTTCAGTCAATTTTTCTAGCGTATAAACAGTGCTTGTCAATTATTTTACTGTTATGAAAAAGATTAAAATGGCATCCAATTAAATTAAAATGCATAAATGTCTTTGATCCATTAAAAATATTTTCAAGAGTTAGAATTCATGTCTAAATAGCAGCAGCCTGAAAAACAGAGCTTCATAAATCCATAATTCATAAAACCTAAGAAGTGGCCTCGGCAGCAATTACACATTGCACGGAGACTGAGACCGTAGAAAGTCAACATTCAAATCTGCGCTGTCTCGTATTTGTATGACCTGCATTTTTTTTAGGTCGCAGACATAAATGCACACAAAATATTTAATTTATAGCACCGCAGACTGATCCAATAATAACTAAAAAAATAATAACTTTTCAATTTAGTTACCCATTATAGTTGCTCTCTGTAAGAGTCAATAATTGAGGCTGTGTTTAATAAAAATCTAAATTGTTCCTATTTAGACATGAGCTGTGCTTGGAATAATATTATTTAATGAGAAGCAGTTTAAGCCTAACTAAAATGATTGTACAACAGTTCTGTCTGGTTCTTAAATCTGAATTGCTGATTGCACTTCGATATTCTGCAAATAACTGCACTTGTCCAGCCTCTGCACTCTTGTGTACCACTCCGCCCACATACAGCAACAACCAGAGGACACTCTATAGTTTGAAAAATATTGCTGCTGTTGGACAACAATGTACTTTTGAGTCTTTTTTTTTTTTTTTTTTGAGAATGTAGTTGTTTAGATTGCAACTATGCAGTTCATGTTTAAGCATATTGCCTAATTTGAAGTATTTATAATTTCTGAAAGAGTGTCAGCGGCCATTAGCATGTCTTTGAGTAAAGGCGGTGGACGATGTTCATCTATAAGATGACAACAAAGACGCATAAAAAGATATAAGAGAAAAACCGCATAATTCTAACTACAGCTGATCAAGTTATTATTAAACAGGTAAATGACTTTCTAAGTTGATCACTGTCCTTTGTACGTTGTAATGCAGTATTTTTACCATAGAAATATTGGGATCTCCTGATTGCAACAGAAATACTGGGAAATCTCAGTAGGCTGATGGCATTTCATGCCGTTCAGCCTTATAATCTTAAAATCTTAGCAAAATCACCTGTTTTGTCATCGCTTTAAACCTTATACTAGAGAATCAAGCAACCACTAGTTCTAAAGTGACGTTGGTGAAATAGTAATGGTTTCTGCTGTTCTGACGTCAGCTGCATATGTGAAGCAATGGCGGAGGAAAGTAGTTCCTTTTACAAAAGGGTTTTTAGGCGATCTGTTTTTGATGTTCTTATTTTTATATACATGATTACGCCATTGACCTGTTGTATAAACAGCTGTATATTGTCACTATATACAGCCACATCGCACTGTTACTCAAGAGACATTGCTCATAGACACATACAGTTCACAAGTGTCTTAGCCTGAGACTGAAGCAAAGCCGGCATGTCACTTTTCACACTTAAATAAGTGCACATGATGGTGAAAGTGAACCATTCAGAAAGGTTATGTCATCAAGTTTACTGACAGAGGCTTTAGATTTGCATTATTGCATGTTATCTGAATAAACTATTGTTGTAATCAGTATGCGACTATTACTGAAAGCAAAACCACTGTGGGCCGACTCTCAGTGCAATCTGTCTCAATCACAGACCGCCTTCAGATTTTTTATACCACTGCTAAAAATACAAACGCTTCATTGAGAGAGAAGGTTTGATTAATATGACCTCTCTTCAACATCTACTTATTCACAGCATAAATCAGCAGGAGTTCAGAGCTGCTAATAATAACTGTAATGCTCTCTTTTTTTCTGTCAGGTGGAGTCGGGTCACTGGGAGTGTGTGACAGTGTTAATAGAGTCTGGAGCGTGTGTGGATGTGTGTGACCCGGTGGGCCGATCTGTGCTGTATTTGGCTTCCCAAAGAGGACACAGCCGCTGTGTTGAGCTCCTGCTCAGCCAATCAGCTTCCTGCCTCCTCGCAGAGCACCGCAGCAAATGGGGCCCTCTTCATGTTGCAGGTACAGTGAGTGTGTATGCGTGAATGGGCTTGTGAAGTGTGTCTTTATATATGGATAAATGTTTGATGCGTCACTGTGCTTCTTGTTGACAGCTGCCAACGGCCACTCTGAATGTCTGCGGATGCTGCTGTGTAGTGAAGGGGGAGCCGACCTGGTTAATGTTACAGATGCGGAGGGGCAGTACGTATCAGCTTATGGCTTTTTTACAGTGCGATTTGATTATTTCTAATGTTTTATTTGTTCACATGCAAGTAACATTTTATAAATACATGCAATTCAGTTTTAACCAATGTGCACTGTTTAAATGTACTACCATGTTAGGGATGAAAACATCCACTGAATTAAACTGCTGTAAAAAAGCATCAGATACATATATATTTTTTCTTATTTTTCTCTGCATAAGTCTGTTAATCAACCTGATCAAAACTACTAAATGTTTTTAGAATTACAAGATTTTACTCTTTAATTGTCAAATTCATAAATGATGTCACTGATTTAATGAAAAAACACAATGACATATTTTCAATATAAAAAATAATCGTGGACTAGATTTTTTTAAATCTTTTGTCACAGACTTAAACATGTGAATGATTAGTAACAACATTGCACAAGATTTTCATTTTTTTTCTCCCTAATTTATTGTTGTAGCTGTTTTTGCCTCATTGACTTTAATTATAACCACATGTTTTGATTGCAAAACCATGACACCATATAATGATGCTTTTTTATTGTTGGTGGTTTTTCCTGTTCGAAAGATAGCAAATTTATAATTTTTTACTGTTTTACTGATCATCACTGATCATCACGATTTACTCTTTAGATAGGCCTGTGCAAAAAAAGCAGCACAACAACATTTATATGGAGTACAACAGCAAATTAAAGCTTGCAAAACTCTTTAGTTTTGGTAGCCCGAATATAAACTTAAGTAGCCCAAAGACAAAATACATAAACAAAAACATACAGTAACTAAATAGAAAAGGTATAAGCTATAGGCTATATTATTCTTTTAAATAACCAAAATTGTATTATTTAGCTTTTTAAAGTTTTATTTAAAAAATTTTTTTTAAATCAACCAAAAAAATGAAGATAAGGAAACATTGTTTCAGGTTATGTTTTGCATCTATAAAGACATTCCAATATGTTACAGAGTAGTCAACTCATTTCAATGTTTCTTTCTCTTTTAAACAAAATGTTTTCTTCAAAATATCTTTATTTAACACCTTGTTTAATACCCGTGTTTAACAGAAAGAATAAAAACTCAAACAGGTTTAAAACAAGTGAAGGGAGTAAATAGTGGGTTTATTTTCATTTTTGTGCCTCTTAACTATTCCTTTAAGTGCATGTCAAAAAAATAAACAAACTTTTTTTTTTTCATAAGCTGACTGCCAATCGTTTACTGATTCTGTTGAATATCTGTGTAAAGTAGACAGATAGCATTAACTTATCCTTATTAACTTATAACGTGTATTCTATCTTTCTTAAGTACGTGTGTCTGTTCTGCATGCGCTCCAACACGTGCTTTTCATGGAGACGCATTACATTTAAAACTTATCTCAGGCTATTTCTGTATCTGTATCATTTGTGTGCTTCAGTGTCGTGCATTTCATTACAGAACAAGCGATTAAACTGACAGAAACACTGCTTAATTTGGGATGTAGTTGATAATATTGTGGCTTTTCTTCTTTGTTATCAACAAGTGCATTTAATGCTGCCGTATCAGCAGCACAGCACATCCATAATTATCCACTTTTTATGAGAGAATGTAGTCATTGAAATATATTTTTCCTCCCACTGGGCAGTATATAGATAGATGTTTGTAGCCCAACCCAAAACAATCCGAGCTACCGAATTTTGCAAGCCCTGTAAAGTGTCTAAATGTGTGTCAGAGTGACCTTTGCGCACTTACCTTGATGTGTCTGAGAAAATCAAAATCTGCTCATCAGCTCTCAGAACTACATGAAGTAAACAAAAACAAAGGTTGTGTATTTATGCACCGGCTGCCTTTTGATGTTGAGAAGTACAGACTCAACAAAAAGGATGTTTATATGATATAAGGATTTTATTATCCCACTTAGCAACTAAATACAATTATTTTCCCCCATAATATCATAAAAATAATAATGATGAGAAATGAATGAAATCATACTACATTTGGGTTGTCTTTGTTACAAAAATCAAGTTTGGAAATAAAAATTTGAATCAAAAGATTTATAAATCTTTTAGTTAAATACTATATGTACTTTACTGAATATTTTTACATGTGTTTGCAGAAAAAAACAAGTCAAATTTAATTTATTTGCATGACAATTGGCAGGTATCAAAAGTCATTGGCAGTGCAAGCCATTCTGATTAAACAATTAAGAGCACCATTTTTTTTTTAAACTAGATATCTTTATAATTTTTTAAATTTCAAAATTTTTGAAATTTTTCAAAAAAAAAAAAAAAAATTTTAAAATGCTTTTAAAAATGCATTTTTAGCTCATTGTTGATATCTGTTTCCCCTTTTTCTCCCGTCAGAACTCCACTAATGCTGGCAGTGCTGGGGGGACACACTGACTGTGTGCATCTGCTGCTGGAGAGAGGAGCTTGTCCTGACATGAAAGACAGGAGAGGAAGAACAGCCTTACACAGAGGGGTGAGACCCTAAAACTGTCAGTCATTTGAGCATTATTAGTCTAATCTTGTGAAGTGTTACTAACCAGCTGTGTCTCACCAGGCGGTGATGGGTCGAGAGGACTGTTTAACCGCCCTGCTGTCCCACAACGTCTCAGTCCTTAGCAGAGATTTCCAGGGGCGAAGCGCGCTCCATCTGGCTGCCTCTTGCGGTCATGCCGACATCCTCTCCAACCTTCTTTCTGCTGCTGATCACTCCCAACCCCAAGACCCACTCACTGACCGCCATGGCTACACACCCGCTCACTGGGCAGCCTATCACGGTACCATGCCCCACCCTTTCAGCCTCTGCAGCACCTTCATATTAGGGCTACACGATATTGGAAAAATCTGACATTGCGATATTTTGTTTTGCTACGATATTTATTGCGTTATAAATAACATTTCAACAGGTTTATTTAAATAACTCTATTTGGAAAGATTTCAATTATTTAGATTGACTGAGATGAAGTCTTTTTTTCTATGCAGTGGATCTGCAGAAATTATAATAAATGATATGCAAATAACTAAAAACAAGGCTTTGTGGTTTTCAGGGGCGTCTTAACAGTATTCAAGTACAGAAATTGAACAATTAAATGAAAAATGACATTGTAATCATTGAATAAATAATAACAAAATATATATTTAATATTATCTTTATTTTTTAATCTTTAATAAATAATAAACTGCAATGTGACTTGCAGATACACACATTGTGATATCGATGCTCAAACGATATATTGTTCAGTCCTGCTTTAATACTGAGTACTTGTGTTAATACTGAGAGAGTGTTAAATGAATGATGTGCAATGTTTTGTGAAACAGGTCATGAAGACTGTTTGGAAGTTTTACTTGAACTTAAACCATGTAGTATCCAGGAGGGAAACCCCTTCACCCCACTGCACTGTGCTCTGTGAGTATTCAACTTATTTTTTATAATATTATTATTATTTTTTTTAAACTTCATATTATTTTCTTTGTTTTGAACAAACTGAGAGTCACTGATTCTCCCATGAATCTAACAAAATAAATGGTATTTGGTGACTGTACTGCTCAAGTGTACACTCGTTTAAAGGTTTAGCATCAGTAAGACTTTACATATATAAAAATAAATACTTTAATTCAATAAGAATGTGACTGTTTTTTTTTCTTTTGTAACAACAAAAGTTTCTAATTAATTTCAAGCTAACACCAAGTTCTTTTTGTCTTTCTGTCCTTTAAAGAGATTTGACACAAAAATGTAACAATTGAGTCTTGATTGGCAAACCACCATATTTGTGAAGGACCATGTGATGATAGACTAGCTTTTAAGAATTCTGCTTCGACAGCAATAGAATAAAGTATAACTTGAAAATTGAATATTTTAAATTAAAACAGAAACCAGTTGTTTTAAGTTACAAAAGTATGTCACAGTAATGATGCGTTCACACCAGATGTGGATGCAAATCACTTTCGCTTGATGCTTCATGTAAATTCCATGCAAAGACACAACTAGATCTGTGAGTTGAGAGTTTTGTGTATTTGATGCGTTTAACTTGCGAATCGCGCAAATTGCTCGAGTTGGAAAATCTGAACTTCAGCGGACATCCGTGCTGCATTAACCAATCAGGAGCTTGCTCTCGTAGGGGTGTGATTATGATGTAGTGCCTGTTGTTGGTGTCCCGAGGGGAAATATTAATGCCGACACTGAACAACAGCTCGACAAAATGGGCTGGGCTAAAGCATCGCTGAAAGCATCAGCATCATTCCGATTTCTGCAGGAGTTGCAGAACTTGCAGAGCTGGGTGCACCTCTGAAAGGATCTAGTGCACTCAGATACAACGCAGAACAAATCTATGCTGTTTTTGCCTTCCTAAAGCACATAAACGCAGCGATTCTCTAAATAAAATCCATGTTAGCCATTTAGCAATAAAGCTAAAATCATCGGGCAAACAGAAGCCCTGCCCTTGACACGAATCTGCATCTATTGTGAAGTAAATTTGACGTGCGAGTAAACTCAATGTTCACGCGTCTATTTATGTGCACATGCCATGTCTGGTGTGAACACGACATAATTCTGTTCTTATCAAATTTTTGTTCAAATAAATGGTGAGACAACAACCGGACATACAACCTCTAGGAAAATAGTTTTGTAGAAATATACTTTTTGAGTTTTGTTATTTTATTTCTTTTGTCAGTTACAAATAAGCCACATCATCTTTGTCTTTTTTTGTGTAGTAAACCTAAATGTGAAGTTATGATATGCTCTGAGCATTAAGGTTAAACTTAAAGCATGGGTTTTCTAATCACTATCTTGCCATCCCATTGCAGCATTAATGGCCATAGTGGTTCTGCAGAGCTGCTGTTGGAATCCAGTGTTTGTAATTCGCTGGTAAACATCAGGGATGCCAAAGGAAGGTTGGTTCAAGCAGTTATTGTAATATAGTTGTTTGTATAGTAGCTGCTGTCACATGTGTACAGATTGAAAAAGCATTAGATAAATGATCACCTATGAAAGTGAATGAACGTCTTTCCTCTAGGACCCCACTACACGCGGCCGCAGTTGCGGAAGACGTGGCTGGGCTGCAGCTGGTTCTGCGGCAAGGAGCAGACATCGATGCCGTGGACCACTCAGGCCGTTCTGCACTGATGGTGGCTGCCGACTATGGCCAAAGTGGTGCCGTGGGTAAGAGTTGCATCATGTGCCACGAAAAAGACTGAATCTCTTAGACATCAAAATTATATTTTATTACAATGTGATCTTGAAAGACTATTAGATGTCTATACTAAAAGCGCTTTAATGCGTGTTTTTATAATGTTAGTTAACCCTTGTGTGCTGTTGGGGATGTTTTCATACACTTTGGGGGGATTTTGAGTCGTAAGTTGGCAGTCTTCATTTTTTATTATTTTTTCCAACAGATCAATATTGTGTATCGTAGCTTCTTACTGCTAAAATGCAGTGAGTGTTAGTCAAAAAAGGAACTGAAAAGATATTAACTAACTCCAACTTTTATTCAAATTTGTTTATAAACATTCAGAAATTAAACACTACTTTTTCTCTAGAGCAAACAGTCATGAGTTATGGCGTTAGTTATCTCCTGGTGCCTTCGTGATGCTTTCTTTTATTTGGTGCAACAGCTGCAAACAATGTTGATATTGTACTTGATTAGAAGAATGATAAATAAATCCATATGAAATAATCCTGTAAAAGTCATGCCTCGTTTTCAGTTTTGGGCTCAGGTGCGCTTTGCACTCATACTACAAGCATACAGAGTCAAAGCCGAGTGAACTGCACTCTGGCACACCTCTTCCAACCGGGCCAGGGCAGGCCAAGTGAACCGTGCTTGAGCCCGATTCAGAGCACGATTCGGATAGCATAGTGTGAGTAGGCCCTTAGTGTCACTGGCAATACTTTCAGTTGATTTTTCTGCAAAACACTCGTATAGCTGCCTGTGTGGCTTTTTTTATTTCATCATCCTTTGGCAACAATGCTTTTACGTTTTTTGTTCGGTGTCTGTGACTTTGAAACCAAAATATTTCAATATTACAGACATTCTGTTTTTCTTTTATATGAATTCTTCTATTAATGCTTCTGAAGTGGCAGACGCCATCATCTTACTTGTCTGCCACTTCCTGTTTTATTATGGGCATTCCACATAGTTCGGTTGCACAATTTTTATTGGGCAGAACGAAAGTGAGCTAACTCAATTGGCTAGTAAGACTGTCAAACACTGAGGGCAGTCACACATTTGGACATTTGCACATTTCAAATCATGACTGCGAATTAGATTTCGATTAATGGCACATAGCCCTAGTAAATTTGAACAGTACACAAGGGTTATTTATCATATATCAGATTGAAAAATCACGTTTTTTTTTTCAATGTAAAAATGTTTGAGGTTTTTTATGTATCGTCTTTTGTTTTATGAAGTTGTTATTATGAAATGTTTAAACCAATATTAATCTTGCCATGAAATAGCCAGTTGCTGATGTGACAATAAATAAACAAATGAACAAATCAGACATTATAAATATCTGAATCCTTAGCAGTTTTTTTGAGTAGATTTTTGTGTTGTTTCCGTTTTTACAGCCCTGCTGCTGCACAGAGCCAAAGCTGATCTGTCCCTCCTGGATGTGAATAAGAACACTGCCCTGCACCTGGCCTGCAGCAAGGTACAAACACAGCACTTTATTTAAACTCAAACATCAATGTCTCTTCATTCAATTTCTTAGACGTTGTCCGTATTGCTGACTATGGTTGTTTTCATTTGAAGGCTCATGAAATGTGTGCCATGCTGATCTTGAAGGAGATCCACAACCCTATCCTCATTAATGCAACCAACAGTATGCTTCAGATGTGAGTTTCTCTTTCTCAGTTTGCTAATACAACTATTAGCAACTGTGGGTTGTGTGTAGCCATTTCCTACTTTGATTAAACTGGACAAACCATTTGAAAGCATTTAAACTTAAATTTTTTTCTGTTTTCAGGCCCCTTCACATTGCAGCCAGGAATGGTTTGGCCACTGTGGTTCAGGCTTTGCTGAATCGTGGTGCCACCGTGCTGGCAGTGGATGAAGAAGGTAGGACAGGCTTTTCTGCTTTTGCAATTTTTCTAGGCAAAGTTTGTGTCAGTTTATGGCAGGAATGACAACAAGAACTAAAATCCAGGGGTCAAAACAAAACTAATTTTGTGATGTTTACTGTGGATATGTACTCCACTTAAAGCAGGCATGTCCAAATTCGGTCCTGGAGGGCCGGTGTCCTGCAAAGTTTAGTTCCAACCCCAATCTGACGCACCTGGGCTGGCTAATCAAGCTCTTACTAGGCTTTCTAGAAACATTCTTGCAGGTGTGTTGAGGCAAGTTGGAGCTAAAATCTGCAGGGCATCGGCCCAGCAAGAAGGTCGCTGGTTCGAGCCTTGGTTGGGTCACTTGGCATTTCTGTGTGTACTTTGCTTTCTCTCCTCATGTTTGAGTATGTTTCCTCCGGGTGCTCTGGTTTAACCCACAAGTCCAAAGACATGCGCTATAGGTGAATTGGGTTAACTAAATTGGCTGTAGTGTCTGTGTGTGAATGAGACTGTATGGATGTTTCCCAGTGATGGGTTGTGGCTGGAAGAGCATCCGCTGTGTAAAACATATGCTGGATGATTTGGCGGTTCATTCCTCTGTGGCGACCCAAGATTAATAAAGGGATTAAGCCAAAAAGAGACTGAATGAATGAATTGATAATAATAATTTATAATAATTTGTCACATGTATCCTATATGTTCAGAAACTGTATATAATAACATTTAAAAAATTTATAAATAACCAAATGCATAAACGTTATAAAGAGGTCTATTCAAATGTCAAAGAAATTCCAAATTTCAGTGAAAGAACACTGGTACGATTTCTAGTAGAAAATGTTTTTGTGTAAACACAAACAACAACGGCACACTATAGGCAAAAGTCTTCTTTGCTGTTTTTTTATACCACTGCTCTGCTTTTCCAACTTCATTTATGTAAATAGTATTTTAGTTCCCCTCTCAAAATGAAGAATATATGCAGAACAATCAAAGAAAATGCTTTCAGTCTCCATCACACAACACACAATGACAATACAGCTTCCTTCATCCTTCAGTTGTTGATTTAGTTTACTGCAGAAATTTGGAGTTTTTAAAGGGGTGGTCCACAGTGTGTAAGGCTTGGTTGTGTTTATAAGATGCAAAGCTATGTGTGCTCATGCTTTAATTGTAGAAAACCTGGTTATTTCTTCATATGTCTTTGATTATATAAAGCTACTCAGCTAACATAAAAACGACTGTCATATTTCCTAGTTCCTCTGTAATGTACAATGATTCACAGATGAGCTCCACATCACCACGTCACATCCCTACAAGCACAGCTTTTAGCTGTATCGGTTTGTGCAGGGACGCGGCAAGCGGCCACATAGAGAGAGACTGAACGCGCTGCTGAAGATTGTGGCCGTTTACAGCAGTTTGACAGATAAATATGAATTTGTAGCTAAATTGTTAACGTTGCCAAACAGCATTTCATATTGTTTACATCTTTGTTTACATCCTATATAAATATATAAAATATATATATATATATATATATATATATATATATATATATATATCAAAACACATGCTTAAAATTACAACATAATAGTAAAAATAATTAAAATGAATAACTTTAAATAATTATTTAAATTTAGCTCACTCAAGCAATGTGCTTGTCAACGTGTCGTAAAGGCAAAATCAAAACAAAATCGGCAGAGAAACGAAAATGCTGTGATTCTTTAGAGGCAAAGAAAAAGATTAGACAGTATGACAGCCTACCTAAATTTTGGTTTTATTGATGGCCAAGACAAGTTAAAACTGATTAATTTATATTTTCTAAACATATTATATATTAATTACACAAACACACACATACAGTGTGTATATATATATATATATATATATATATATATATATATATATATATATATATATATATATATATATATATATATATAGTACATATGGGCGTGTGTATTTAAATGGTGGGGGGGCTCCAATGTTTGTATATGTTCATGGGGGGGCCCCTAAGAAAAAGGTTGGGAACCACTGTTGTAGTGGACCACCCCTGTAATGATTGTGAGCATGCAACAAAGAAAATGGTTTGGGAGAAAATTTCCCTGGTGGCTAGTTCCTATAACGGAGTTCTTGTAACTACTACCTGCAAAAGCCCCAATTGATAATACCTGCTTCACAAATCCTATCTCTGTGTTTTTTTTTCCTCTAATGTCACAGGTCATACGCCAGCCCTGGCCTGTGCATCCAATAAAGCTGTTGCTGACTGCCTAGCTCTCATTCTGTCAACCATGAAGCCTTCCTCCTCCACAGCCTCCTCATCCTCGCCCTCTTCGCCCAGCCTCAACCTGCTCAAGCACTGTGGCATCACCGCCGCCTGCCCCCCTCTGCCCAATGGAGGCCTTCGCCATGGTTACGGCAAAGATCGCCATGGTGCTACCATCGGCTTGGATGGCTGCTTGACCGAGTGAGGCGTCCTTACTCGCTAAAAAAAAATTGCGTGGTCGCTTGGTTTGGTCCTCTCTACACACCTAGATAAACCTATATGCAATTACAGCCACACATCCCTCCTGTGCCAGTATCGAAGCTTTTCTTAACGTCTCCGTAGAGAGCGAACACGAGAGGACTAGTTTAGCTATTTATTTTTTATTTATTTTCCCCTACTTTCCCGTTCCCCCCCCCTCATCTTAGATACTGTCCATTCAATAGAAGTCTAATAAGTCTAAAAATCTGAATCTAAGCCATCTATTCGAACCAGTATCCATCACTGGCGAGTAAGTCCTGTTCTTTCTTTCTCCATTGCGCTTGAATGGACTCATGTTAGAATTATGCAGCTGTGTGTCTTCATGGTAACAGTGATAATGGATGGGTTTTCATATCATGCCTCCTATTTGCGTGACGCTGTGGCCTTGCATAGGAATTTACAGCCTGCCCTGAGGAACAATTTAAACGGGTTACACTAGATTTGCATGAATTTGCGGGACCATGTATTTGATAGTGGTCTTGTTTGTGTGTGTGTGGTTGAGTGAAAGTGTGTGCGAATGTGTGCGCGCGCGTGTTTGTGTATGTGTGACATTCACTTTTGCGCAGCAGTCCAAGTTTTTCATCCCATACTTGATTCATGCATTTCGAGGTTTTTATGTGAGGTGCAATCTGATTTAGCACAGATCAGGAAAAAAAACTAAACAAACAACCTAACAGGATCATTTTGACAGAAGGGAAACCATACTACCTTAAGCCAAAAGACCAATGACCTCCTGGATTCAAGAGGTCTGATATATATATATATAATATACATATATAATGTTTGTTTACTGTTAGAGAGAGAAAAGGGATCGCGTTCGGATGAGCTTTGAGGTGGATAAATTGAAATTAGGTTTACAATGAAGGTATTAGGTAGTCCAGATCACTGTTTGTAGGTGGGCAGAAGAAAGAGAAGTAAAAGTGTCATTATTTGGGGGGTGTTTTAAAACATTATGATGATAATACACTAAGGAAGTATAGAAAGCACAAACGTCATCACTGATGCAATCGTCATACACAGTACTTGCTCCTTGGGACTTTCGCTTTAATTTGTTTGATTTTTTTGGATCATCTTATATCTTCATTTAAATCTCCTGCTTTGTTAGTTGAAGTTTCTAATATTTAGCATGGAGTTGCTTTCACAGTGCCTACTGAATTTATTTTTGTCTACCTAGGGTCCGATCAGTTCAACAACAGAATATGCGCTCCCTCGGAGTCGTCAAAATGGTGCTTTGACCAGGGAAACTTAGGTTGAGTATTTCACTATAATCCGTTATGAACTAATTTCTGATGATCGTGATTCTTATATCAGAACCCGCTTGGGTTGTTTTAGACTCTGGGGGAGTGTATAGGTTGACTTGAAGTGTTGAAGCTGATTGGGTGTTCTTTTATGTTTGTTTATGGTGTTGGGGAGCAGTCATGCGTATGACCAAAGTTGAACGATTTCTAAATACCATTTTATTAGGAACTAATAGATATCCAAAAAATAATAATATTCACCCTTGCTCTTTACAAAATGCTTCCTTATTGCCAAAGGTAGATTAATTAAAGTTAAGATTGTGCTTCCATTAGGTTTTTGCACCTAAACACAAAATAAGAACATGTGAATGAGTGTTTGAAACATCCCTTTTTTTTGTTTGTACACGACAAACAGGCAATATATGCTCAGTCAGTAATGAGACAATCAGTTGAAAGGGCTTTTAATTTTGCCAATATTTTTTTTAATTACATTGTCCCCCCGAATTAGACAGCTGTATAAATCTATGCCCCCTTAAATTCAAGGCATCCACAAACTGATGCGTACTTCAGGCATGAAATGTGTGGTTCTCAGTTATTTTCATTACGTTATATCAGGCGTTTAGTGATGTAGAGTAGCTTCGAAGTATTGTAACTGATGTTTTATTGGTGAATGAAGATGCATAGACAAACAAAATGGTAACGTTAGATGTTTAAAGGCTGTGTGGAGAGCGTATTTATACTGATTTAAGACCTCTTCGTCATGATAATGACAAGTTTTGGCTGCTTTAACGAGTTTCTCCGCTCCACGCAGGCCTGATTTAAAGCACTTGCTTGTTTAAGAACAAAAAAAATGAATAAAATAAAAAATGCGCTTTTGCATCTGTCACAAGCTGTAAATGGGCTAATATCTGACCTTTAGTTGCAAGAGTACAAACATGCATGTCTGCAAATTAGATTAGTGGCATTATATCGCAGTGTTTTGCCTGAGAAATGGGCAAGATGTGGGAGTATAATTCAAGCTTATTTATCTTATCAAGTACAATGACTTTTGCTGCGGTTTGGTGTAGGAGAGGTAATGTGTGCGTGCAGACAGCACAGGGTACGATAATGAAGTGCAAGTTGATGATGAGCTTGAAGTTATTTGCACTGCCAGTTATACTGCTTGTAGTTATAATACAAAAAATGGTTATTTATCAATTTTAGTCTAGCCAGTCATACCACATGTAGTTGAGTCGTAAAACAAGTGCCCATGGAGCCTGTGATTTAGTAATACATTTCATTTGGTGCAAGAAAACTGCTGCTTTCGATTGTATCTTGGAGCTCTTTTTTTCTATTTATTAGCGATAATTCTTATCCAGCCAAAACAAACTAAAGCAAACTTGTTTTAATTCCTCAAATTTCTAATCGTCTTATTGGCATTGCACTAAAATTGTTTAATTGTTTCATCGTCGAATGTACGCCGTGATGGTAGCAGCTTGCTTCGATGTTGGTGAAAATCTTGTATGCAGTAGATAGCAATTAAATAATTCACTTGACAACTTTGGAACTGAACCCTTTCAGAACTTCTAATAGACTTTGGTGTTCTGTGTGTCAACAATAAGGGAACTGGTCACAAAGTGGCAAGACTTCTTTCTTTAGGGTAGTTAATAACTGATAAGGGGAGTTTCCTCCCCAAAATAGATCATTTAGTGCCATAACTTCATTTTCCTTTCTCATTTTGATACGTTTGTAAAATGTGAGTGAGTGATTCCTTGGGTTCAGTTTTTGAGTGTGCGTCAAGACCATTACCAAAAAATAAAAAAAGACAAAAAGTGCAAGCTAACATAAGCTATCGTGCCCATTACAAATATTTTTGGAGATCCTCATTTAGTGTGTTGATTATTGTATAATGCCAGTACGTTCACAATCAGACTGTCTCAAATTGCCAGTTTATTCATAACTAAGCTATAATGAAGGGCTGGTTAGCCCTAGGTGGAGTTCATCTCCAACTGTTGAAGTGAAAGCTTTCATGGCTAAGCTGTAACTTAGCATTTGCCCTCATCAATTGAACAGCCGGATTGAGTCATCTTGTCAACGGCTCTTTCTAATTTAATATTTTGTAAATATTCCAGTGTACTCGATCGTACCATTGATATTTTGTGATTTATTTCTACGCTGTGGAATTATGAAACGCCTTAATTTCATTATTAAAAACGAAGGGCAAATTTGAACCAAAATGATGCATTTACCTAGCTTTTCTCCTTTTATTCTGGATCAACAAATTGTGCAGTTTTAAAGAGCTCTTTATTTGTTTTGTTTTTTACGCAACTTTGCTATGAAGGGCCAGCTTTCATTGCCTGTTGACCAAGCTATAATGGTTGCAGTTACTTGCAGGCAGTCGGAAACTAGAGTCGTCTAATAATTGTAACCATTTTGTTGGAAAGCAGATTAATTGTAGCTAACTCAGTGTCCTTATTGTGTGTCCATCCTTGCATTTTTTTTTGTTGTATCGATTATATAGTTTTTTGTTTTTTTTCGCAAAGGTATTAATGGCTGATAGAATGTCTGATTTACCTCAGCGGACCTCGGCGTCCCTACTACTTGAAGACACATCCATTTAAGGCAATACTCAAAACACCCGTTTCATTTAACCTATCTCCCAACTTTTTTGCCTTAAGAGGAAACGGTATAGTTCAGCAGTCGCAGCACTTGAGAGATTTTGTCGTTAACCTGGGATCTCATTTGGGTGAGATTCATAAGAAGCACACTGTTCTATAGGTTGTTTTGCTGAAAGATGTACCATTATGGCTTCCGGCCTCAAAATAATCATTTTTCATGGAATTTAGTAGAAGTTTTTGCACTAGAGCATAGATAAAATTGAGTGTCTTTTTGTTTAATACGTGTGTGTCAAATATTTGGAGAGTATCAAATTTGAAAGAACAATAACACAAGAAAATCTTTGAGGGAAAATTGCTAGATAATGTTGGATTTTGAAGTTTTAAATGAAGTGTCTGAACTGATTATTACCTAAACAAGTAATTTAAAGTCAGTTTTGAAACACTTGAAAAAGATTTGGGAATGCATTGGAGAGAAAAAAAGTAAATTTAATCATCCAATGATTAATTCTTTTATAGACAGTATATTTTATCCCCATTTTTCTGTCTGTTGACATTTAGTGAGTAATATTGTATGTGATGTTAATAATGCAAATCATTCTAGCAAGTAAGAGCACAAGATGTGCTGTGTGTAATTCTTCAAAAAGTGTGGTCTGAATTGCCTCGACTTGGCAGTCTTACCTCATCAACTCGCTGTCCTTAAAATCTATCATGCTCCATATACTGGTACATGACATTTGGGTGGGCTTTTAGTTTGCCATGCAACTGGAATCCCAAGGTCACGTTCGAGGCCTTGAAATGGAAAACGTTGATGTTTTCAAAGGGGTGCTCTTGAACTTAGATGATGTCCTTCACCTTGGCTTAGTGTTACTTCATGTTTTTACTCGGTAAGCGCTAATAGTTCAAATTGTAAATCTGTAAGCGAATGATCTAATCACAAAGAAAAAAAAAAGCTGCTTTTTGTTGTTCTCGCCAGCAGCTTGTTTTCATAAGGCTAGTTAGATGACCACTGGAGCCTGACTGAATGGCTGATCTGACAGGGCACGTAGGGATCCCTTTAAAATACATTTTCATATAAAAAAAAAAATGTAAAAACTATGCAGGAGTTTTCTTTCTTTTTATCTCACGGAGTTGCATAGTGCCATCAGAGATGGCCCATTGACCGACCGATCGATCACGGACCTTCAGAAGTTCATCTGTAAATCTTAACACCGACCTTACTCGCTTGTTGGCTTGGGTTGAGAGAAAATAATGACTGCTTTGCGTGGCATGCTGCTATTTCTTTGGAGTCTGTAAGCATCTCTTCATCATCTCTTTAAAGTACTACACTTTGTGACGAGTATATGTGGGATTGTGCCTTTTGTTATCAAGTACATGCCACAGGGTATGGTCTTCCATTAACACCTTTAGTGAGCCTTATGAATGAACAACTGTTGTACGTTTTCCGAAATAGCCACCATCCACGTGGTTTGTCGTTTCGAGCCGCGATCGAAATTTGTCGCAACACCGCTGATGAATAACATAACCTTCAAAAAAAAAAAATCATTTGATCGGTTCTAGCTAGTGACCTGTATGGAATAAAAACGTGTTTAGTTTTTACAAAGTGTGAACTCTTAAGTGAAGTAGACGTGTGCCGTGTTGTTTTCGTGTGGTAATGCATTGGAGATTAGTTGTAACCCAGTGTCTTGTAGAATGTTGGCATGACTCCTTTTCTGTATGTTGTATTGACGTCAAAGTATCCACCTGAAATGGACTGAAGTGCAATAAACTTTTTTTTGTGCGCCATAGTATCCTTAATGGAGGAAAATGCCCTCTTACGTCATCCATTTTTTTTTTTCTGATGTTGTTGTTGTCGTCGTCATTTTATTTGAAGCAGGGTATGTAATTTCACTTTCTTTTCGGATTGTACAAATTTGAACTCCTTCCTGCTTTGCCTCCATAAGTGGCACTTTCTTGTAGAATGTACAATGGACTTGGTGGAAACTGTGATAGGCGTCAAAGCCTTATCGATACTTTGCTCACTGGAAAGATGGCATTTCTGTTTGTTCGATAGGTCAGAGAGTGCCGTTTTCTGTGTACCTTCTTCAGCGCCACTTTAAAGTCAGTGTCTGCTTTCGTGGCATGTTAAGCATTTGTGTATGTATGTGTGTGTGGGGGGGGCAGGGGCCTGTTCATTTACCTCGAATCAATTGATTTGATACCAAAAGCAATCGCATAGATTTCAAGTGATTTTCAGATTAGAGATGCGAGAGTAGATGATTTGGAAACGGTATCTTGAATGTCGTCAGTTAAATATATATGCAGGGTTTTATTTCTCCCCACACAGCATTTGAACTTTGGGCCATATGTTATGCGGTACCAAAGATCGTTTCCGATTTCTTTTTTTCTTTTTGGAATTATTCGTCATCAAGATCCCAGTAATCGTTGTTTAATGTGTTTTGTAAAACATAATGAAACATTCCTTTAGAATTTCATTGTACAAAAGTTGGCAGCCAATACCAGAAGTCATCGTAATCTTTTAAGGTCCATGATTTTGGCCTCAAGCAATCAATGATTTCATAGTTGATATCACAGGGAGCACACCGAATAAAGTAATTCACAACATAGGACCAATGTTTGTCTCTGTTAGAGATGGCCACTTGATTTCACTCAAGAACAAGCAATACAAGTATCAAGAGACAATTGTATATTTCTAAAGATTTGTTGGCTCTGGCTGATTTTGGCCTGGCTATTTAATCTGTGGCACCTTAGGTTAACACCCTCTTCTTGTAACTGAAACCAACATAAAGAGATTTCAGTGCTGAGAGAGCCTTATTTCAGTCAAACTGAATGTGAATTGGATGCGTGCAGGATTTGGCCATTTCGAAGCGACTGGCTTTAATCGAACGGACCTCCTGCGTTCCTCGTTTGAATCCAGTTTCACTAGGACCCGCCGTCTTTAAGACTTTCCAAAAGATTGCTGTTACAAAAAAAGAAGCGGATAAATAAATACTACACAGTGGCTGTTTCCATTGGCGAAACGCAGAACTCAACGGTTGCATTAGTTTCTGATAAAACAGGGTTACGGTCACTGCTTCCAAGCATGCCAAGTATTTGACTCATCACGATGAAGGAAATGTGACCCTGGTTTCTTTTTACTTTGTTTTCTTAAAACAAAAAAAAAAGCCACAAATCTGCACTATTTACTTGAGCGTTGCTCGTTTCGACGATGGAAATGGCCACAATCGTGTAGGAAAGCACCCAGTGTGTGTGTTTGTGTGTTGTGCGTCTGATTGCGACAAGCAGGGGTCATATCAACCCTGTATACCTCATCGACATATCTGCAAATATTCTTATCCTGTCTTTAAGTTGAAGTGTAGGAGATATACCATCACCAGCAGAAGCCTGGGACCATTGCAGGGTCTACCACATCACACCGATCCCATACATCAACCAATAAGATCAGCACTTGCTTGCGCTAGAAACACCACTTTTTTTAGCCTGTTTCATACCCCACACAATGGTTTAAAATTACGAAAAACGTGAGGCATTTTAAGTAGCATTATCCTACCTCTGTGTTACAGCTTGATGCATTGAAATCTCCACCAGTTGTTGACATATGGAAATCTATATGTATATGGAACAGATATATATATATATAACTTATAACCAACAATCGGTGATATAAGACAGCAGTTCGCATACTTGACTGTGTGTCGGTCTGTGTGTAACATGATATTTGTGAGTGTATACACAACAGAGTACCACTGGAATGTGAAGCCAGACTGTATTATGATATTTTTTTGTGCGTGTGTGTGTGCGTGTTGTTTTCCATTTCTCCAACTTTCTCCGATTAGATTTCAAATGATGTCATACGTGTCTTGCCTCTATCGCTTCTTTTGGTCGTTTTTTTGTTGTTGTTGTTGTTGACAAAACAGGGACAAAATATCAGCCTATACTAGCTGGCATTTACATTTGTGCTCCCTTTTTCCCTTTGTCTCTTTCACGTTCACTTCTAAATGTTCACTGTGAGCGCTCTGAACTCAAGTTTACAGCTCTTCATGGTATGTACGTGCATCTGGTCGAGTTCAGTAGAGTGCGTGGATGGTTGTATGACTTTGGTACTGAAGCAACAACTCAATTTTCTACTGGTGGTGGGGGCTTGAAAGGGGGTCGGTTTGGTTTTGAGTTTATGCACCTTCATTCTGTACTAAAACGTGTGTGTATATATGGGGTCTGTTGAGTTCCCTAGCCTTACGCCCTTCCGAATACACTACGCCGGTCACTGGCTAATCTGCGTTAGCTATCCACCACCCTGCCAACTTTGTACCTCTGTACATAACCATTTTGGACCTGGGGACGAATTCGGTGGATTCTGCCTGAATCTGTCAGGACGGTCCTCCCGTGACCTCCTCCCCCTCCTAGACCTGAGGAAGGAGAACCCTCACCCTTTCAACCCCACGAAAAGACCTCAAGCCATTCATTTCCTTATGTGACAATGCAATCCTGAAAGCACTTTGCCTTGTTAATTCATAGTATGAGCTTGTGAATGGTTACTTGTTACTAACAGATGTGAAACTCTGTACATGTATTTAAGTAAGGAAGAACATAATCATTTTAATTTGAGCTTATTAAAAACAAATTGGTCTCTCTGACTTTAAAAACAAAAAAAAAAAGCTACAAAAAACTATATAAAAAGTCCCATTTGTTTTTGTTAGTCAGGTTCATGAACTGCTGCAGCCAGTAGGTCTTGTCATTCAGTATCGTGGCTTAGAATTGGTAATGTTGAAATAAAACGCTATTGCTACATATACTAGTTGTTGTTGTTGAGTCTTTTTTGCTTTTTCTAATTGTTGCCAAACATGATGGCATCCTGTGCTAAATGTAAATTAAAGTAGTTGTGATGTTAAGACCATTTTCATCTGAGGTTCAGATTAATGTACAAACTTAAAACATCAAGTATAACTTAAAAATGAAGGTTGAAATCTGATTAAAGGTGCAGTATGTACGTTTGACACCCAGTGGTTGAACTACAGGTATTGCATTCCTGGATCAAAACAAAGGCAAGTGCTGGTTGCCGGAATGAGGACCAAACAGAGCGAGTCTGATGATCGAGCCTAAAAGCTGATTTAAGTTTAGTAAATAAAATTAGGAATATTTTCCATACTAAAAGGAGTTTTTGTTCTAACCAACATCTAGATATTTTAGAAACGGCTTCTATTTCTTACAGCTAAACAATAGAAAATCTGCGACTGTCCACCGGAGGTCGCAATTTGGTCCTGAGCTTATGGAGAAAGAATTGTTTCGTAATTCCAAACAAATATAATACCATCCACAAATTTATGTAAAGCGATTGACAAATACCAAGCATATTCACAAATATGCATATTTAAATAAATACAATAAGATCCACACATCAATCTTAGAGTTCCACAAACGTGAATTATATCCATAAGTAAGTAAAATTAGACTTGCAAATAAAAAACATACACATTTTTTTATTCTACAAACACAATTTTGCCTGACATTTATATGTGAATAGCGTCCTGTGCATTTTAGGCATGGGCCGGTGAAAGATTCCGACAGTATGATAACCTTGGATAAAAATATCAGTTTCCCAGTATTGTAATTACTGCTCTAAAATATTCTTTTTCAATGTCTGGGTAAAAAACCAAAACTTTTTTCCCCTTCGAACATTTATTTTATTTTGAGAAACACAAAGTATTTTGGAAACAAGTCAGGCTCAATAACTCTAATCATTGACTTCTGCTGTTTTTGTTGGTTTAAAAAACACAGATTTCTTTACAATTTAAAATGGCAATAACACAATTTCCATATCTTTTCTGCTGGAGATACTGTCCTCCTAAAAAACTTAATAAAAATTTTATAAAACAATTAAAAATAAATAAAAAAATCACAAGTAGATTCACAAGTCTTTACCCATTTGTCTGCTAGAAGCTTCAGATACAACATTGTTTAACTTTTGATATATTAAAATAAATCATTTGTCATTTTGACGTGTTATTTGCTGTCTATGCTTATAAAATCAAACAGAGTGCAAACAATGCAAGGAAAATATAGAGGTTTTTATTTACTGTGCAAAGTTCTTTAAAACAGTTTCTCTGTGTTTTTACATTTTAATACCTGGAGGTAATTGTGATTTTATTTAACAATATAAAATTCTAAAAAGGCTATGAAGTTATAGGCCTAGTCTACAAACAAACAAGGGAAGGGCATTATATATTAATAGTACAAATGTAAACAGTGACGACGTTATCATTTAACAACCGTCTTCAACATCATAAATAAACTAATGTTTATGTTGAGAAACATTTATATGATAAATGAAAGACAAACTGAAAACACAGCATTCACCTTATAGGCTAGTTTTTTTTCTTTATAAACACGTTAGGAAGTGGATGTTCAAAAATAATGACTACCTATAAATCTTTGTTGCAGTTACAATAGCAAATCCATCATCCGGGGAACTTTCTTCAGAATATCCACATCTACACAGTAGTTGATATAATGGATGAGGTACTCGAAAATGCTTGTGTCTTTGATTTAGATGATCTTCATCATGTTGTTAGTTTTCTCCCAGACTGTTTTCTCCCAGACTGACAGCGATGTGATCCTCGAAGAGCGCGATGCACAGCATGATGGCGCCCCCTGTCAGCAGGCCGAGAGCCTGCAGGAGGAAGCGCTTCAGCGGACTCACTGATCCACAGGCTCCGTGCAGCATCTCCGGCATCTGCTCAAAGTAATGCACACTCAATAATTAATAAGAAGAAGATGCAGCGAATTCTTGAGCATTAACAAAAGTACAAGGAAACTATTTTTTGATCTTGTAGTTATGCTTAATAACCCTGTTATTTACAGGTTCTAGATGGTTTTAAACCATTTTATTTGTATTTTTTGTTAATTAAATAATCAATTCAAAATTTTACAATGATATTAGCTTCTAAGCAGCATTACAAAAGGTGCACATTGTTGCATTATAATCAAACTAGGAAAAGTTAAGGTTATTAGTTCAGCAATGTTCAACGGCAAAATTTAAACGTATTTTCTTTCAGCTAGTCTCAAAGTAAATATTTCACCGTTTTAATTTAACAGTGTCCTAAAATAATAATAAAAAACTAAATAAACCAATTTTAAACCAAACAAATTAGTAATAAGACTGACGAAATAAAACAATAAAATCACTAAAATTATAATCTAATAATTTAAACCTAAAACTACAATAGCATCTAAACCATAGGTCTCAAACTCAGTTCCTGGAGGGCCGCTGCTCTGCACAGCTTTGCTCCAATCATATCAAACACAGCTGATAAAACTAATCAAGGTGTTAAAGACTAGACACTACTAGATCAGCTGTGTTTGATGAGGGTTGGAGCAAAACTGCAGAGCTGTGGCCATCCGGGAAATGAGTTTGAGATCTATGATTTAAACTATTCTAAAAAATAATACATAAAGAAAATATTTGAGTACATTTTACTATTAAAAAATTTAATATGCTTCCTGTGAAAGCAGATATTTTCACATTGTTCCAACACAAAACGATTAATTTAACCTACTGGTTTTTACAAATCTAAGTGGTCTAAACATAAAAAATTAAGTTGTCCTAATACAGAATCACAATCACATGTTTTAGCTTTTTCAAATAGCTAGTTTGACATTTTATTTCAATGTAAGTGATTACCTAAAAAACTGATTGAGTAAACCCATTGCTTTAAAAATGACAAGTTGATTTTACTTTAAAAATGTAAGTATTTTCATTTTAACTTCTGTTAAGTTGACTTATTATGCACATAGAGTCGACAGTAAAAAGTGATTAGTTACTTAAAATGAGTAAACCAGTTGCCTTAAAAGCAACAAGTTGACTTTACAAAAATAATGTAAGTAAATCCATTGTAACTGTTATGCTGACTTAATTTGTATAATTATGCTAATTTTACTCATTTAAAAAAATTAAGAAATAAACAAATCCCTTTTATCCAATACACCGTTATTTATTTTTATTTATTTTTATTTTTTCAAATTTTCTGCATCTTGCAAAATGACATACAGTAAAATAAATCTGCTCTTCTGGACTCATGTGTCTTCTAAATTCAATACAGGCTATAACTGGAGATTTTATAGACTTAATAACGCACCAAATATGTAGTACTGTAATAATTACAGTAATTATTTGAAAACAGATGTGCTAAAATAGTCTGACACTGTAAAAAGGGATTAGTTGACTTTAATAAAGTAAATACAATTTATATAATTATAAAAATTAAGTCTTTAATTTAAAGTCAACTAATTGCCTTTTACAGTTTTTTTCTCTGTTTCTTTATTTATATGTTTTAAAAGGCATAGTTCACCTAAAAGTAAAAAAAATCTAATTAGAACTATTTACTGCCCGTCAAGTGTAATCTGTAAACCCAAAAAATAACTTGAAGATTGTTGGAAGCCTGTAAACACTGAAATTCAATAAATACTAAAAAAGTCGATGGTTAGGGGAGCGTGGGGCACAACGTAACGCGGGGTAAAATGTAACAGAGTTTTAAAGTATTTGCTCAGGGTTAACCATGGCATGTTTCTGAGGTTTCACCACAATGTTGGCAGACGTCTTCCTGCCAATTATTGAAAAGTTAAAAGTTCAGCGAAATTTGCATGAGAAACAGACGAGAAACCATTTTTGTAGCATAAAAGTATTTTTATTGTTAATCTTATATTGTTGTGATCACCGTCTTCTAGGCTAAAAGATGGAACTATTTTGAAAGATGTAAAACAGTGACTGCTAACCAGTTTTGAAGAACAAACAAAATAATTTTTGAATTTTGATTGTAATGTTGAGAACTTTTTATTTAAAATGTTTTTTTTTTTTGTACAATGTTTATTACTTTTTATCAATTTACATATCACAACAGATTACAGTTACAGAATAATAATTATGAAGACACAGCAAATTTTTTACACCCTATTCTCCCTCCCATCAACCCATTCCCTTAAAAAAAATAGATAAAAAATAAATAAATAAATAAATAAATAAATAAATAATCAAATGAGAACAAAAAAAGGATGTTTAAATCAGGTAAAGAGTGTTTCCTGGATCTATGTTTAGACCATGATACTCACGTTACTCCCTCTAAGCTTGTTCTTGTTATAGCAGACTGTCAACATTTACATTGTACTTCAGGAAGTTATTAAAAGGTCTCCAGATATCTTCATTTTGTTTCTTTTTGACAATGTATGTGACCTTCTTCATTGACATATGTGATGCCATTTATTTAATCCTCTTTCCAAATCTAGGTTAATTTACATTAAAAAAGTTTTTTATAGAAACATATTTTTTAAATAAAATAATTAATTTTATTGCTAATAATGCAAATAAATCAAAATGTTTATTAAGTAAATAAACATGCTGTGCTATGTAGAATAAAAATAAGTTGAGCTGAGTAGTGAGGAAATATAGCTACTATTTAAAGCAAACAGAAATTAAATAACTGTGTTAAATGTTACAACTAACCCTCTATCTGTTGCAACTTGCCCCGCAGGTGGGGTAAATAGTAAAATTTTTATTCCTGGCACTTTTGGCAATACTGCACAGAAACTATATTTCTGGCGATCATACAACCAGTGCTCATTTGTAGGAGAGGCTTGTGTGATGTTGGTAAAAAAAATATGGTTTGTCCAATCCCATTACTCTGTTCATTATTTGGCCAAAACCAAAAAGTGTTATTTTGTGCCCCGCTCTCCCCTACACCAGTCCAACATTTCTTCAAAATACCTTCTTTTGTTCAACAGAATACAAACAAATCATAAAGGTTTGAAAGTATAGGGCAAGTAAGTGATGACAGAATTTTTGTGTGTCTGTGTGAGCTTGTTTGGTTTTTTGGCTGACCTATTTCTATGAATCAGTTTTACTCCAACTGCTAATGTTGCTAATATATATAGACAAAGATAAAACTAAACAAACTTAAAATGAAATTTGGAAGTAGACTTTTTCAACTATCAACTACATTTAACTTTGTTTTGAACAGTTAAGATGATTACCATGTCAGCAAGAGCTACATAGAGGAAGACACCGGCGGTGAGTGTGAGGATCCAGGGTGAGTGTGAAGCCCAGTGGTTCCCCAGCGCAGATCCGGCCAAAACACCCACAAAACCCAGCAGAGCAGAGAGCCCGCTGAACACCAGCAGCCTGCGCACAGGCCAGCCCGCAGACAACAACACCGCCAAATCACCTGCAAAATAAACACGTATATTTAAACCACTGATGATTCATAATGATCATTCAAACTAATGTGTAAACGACTCAAACCTAGTTCATGAGGAAGCTCGTGGCAGAACACGGCGATCGCGGTGCTGAAGCCGCCAGTCAAACTCTGGGAAAACGCGACACCTAGAGGACAACAACAGTAATGTATTTTCAATATACCTTTGCTCCTATATAAACTTTCTATTAATGTAAACAAAGTAAGACATTCTATAGTCTTTGCCATTAGTTTCTTATCTTAAATGATGATATTTAATTTGAATAATTTTCACAGATGTTTGTATACCAATGGCAAGTCCATCTGTCAGGTTATGTATGCCATCACCCATCACCACCATCCATGCCATGCTTCTGATACCAGTTTGCCCTGGTTCAGCCTGTCCATGGGAATGACCGTGCCCTGAACTCTCATTCTGATTGGCTGATGAGGTTCCTATGATAGAGTCCAGGTGACTTTACAATTTGCATTTTAATTCATATCTATGTGTGCATGTTTGCTTATTTTATGTCTGAAAATTAACAAACCCTGTAGTGCGTCAAGCTCTCTTCCACACTCTGCGTCATGCTTTCTTCTCTTTAAATTCTGGTTTAAAAAGGGAAAAAATATATGCACAAACATAAATATTTCTCTTCAGCTCTTTTGTCAAACTGAAGGTTTCATTTAAGTCGTCAGGTCTTAATAATTGAGCAAAAACATCATGTTTTGCACTGGCTGAAGCTCACCTTGAAATGCTGCTTAAGTCCCAGAAGACTCTCAAAGATGAAGAGAAGGTAAAGTCCTCCCAGAACACTGAGACCTTTGAAAACAGCATTCTGGTGATCAGTGTGTTGACTGAAGATGGCCTGAAATCACAAACAACTCACATCTATAGCACCTCAATTAAAACATATATATATATATATATATATATATATATATATATATATATATATATATATATATATTTTTTTTTTTTTTTTTTTTTTTTTTTTTTTTATAAAATTATATATTATTTATTTCATTTAATATTACCTCTTTATTCAATACATTTATTTATTTTTCTTATACAATATATTGTTTCAAATAAAAAAAAATGTCAATAAAAGTCATAGTCTTAAACTGTACAGTTATATTTACCACATAAGAGCAGAGATCAAGGCCCCATACTCTATTTGAACAACCAAAACTATTTTTCCTCAGGCAATACGACAAAAAAAAAAAAAAAAAAATCAGATTTTCCCACAAAATTGTATTTTCATTGTCCCAGTCCTTCCTTCTTACAAACACTCCCACAGATACAGTGCTAATTAATTAATTAAATAAAAAATACTCACTTAAGGTATAACTCCATTATATTTACTAATAATGAACCGGCCAAAACTAGAAAATAAAACTTTTTATTAAACCATAGATACCGCAGAAGCAAAAGAGAAACTTTTAATACTCAGGTCGCGATATAATGAAGTGTCAGCAAGTAGGGCAGCATCAAAAGTATTAAGGTTGAAACAAAAGGTCTATGAATATGGAGATAAATCAGGACGGTTATTAGCTTGGCAAATTCGACAACAACAAACAGAACGTACAATCACAACCATTGAGAGTTTAACTGGAAATATAGTTGACCCAGAGGAGATCAATGAAACATTTAGAATTTATTATGAAAAGCTGTATAGCTCAGAGTGCTCACTAAATGTAGATATCCAAGCGCAATTTTTAGATAGTCTAAATATACCTCAGATATCAATTAAAGAAAAGAAAAAATTAGATGAAGACTTCACATTACAAGAAATAAGAGAAGCTATTGACTCTATGAAATCAGGAAAAGCTGCAGGCCCAGATGGGCTCCCTATAGACATTTATAAGATGTTTAAAGAAAAGTTGCTAACTCCTTTTATGGAAATGATAATAGAGGCATATCATCAAGAGCTTTTGCCTACATCAATGAGAGGAGCTTTAATTACATTATTACCGAAACCAGGGAAAACAAACACAAAATGTGAAAATATGCGCCCAATTAGTTTATTGAATTCAGACACAAAAATATTAAGTAAAATTTTAGCTAAGAGGTTAGAAGGTACATTACCAAATTTAATAGGAGAAGATCAAAATGGTTTTATAAAGCGTAGGAAAGGATTTCACAATGTTCGAAGAGTCCTAAATATACTTCATGAACTAAGGGGTGAACAAGATACTGCTCTATTATCATTGGACGCTGAAAAGGCCTTCGATCGGGTTGAATGGTCTTATTTGTTTGATGTGATGGATAGATTTGGGTTTGGTGAAAAATACTGTAGGTGGGTTAGACTATTGTATAATTGTTCTACGGCAGAAGTGTTGACAAACAATATAGTTTCAAAACCATTTAGTGTATCAAGAGGATGTAGACAGGGTTCTCCTCTTTCTCCTTTGCTTTTTGCCATCTCCATTGAACCTTTTGCAATAGCAATAAAAAACCATGTGGAATTAACAGGAATTAAGATAGGAATGAAAGAACATAAAGTTGCATTGTTTGCTGATGACGTCATTCTGTTTCTAAAGCAGCTTGATACATCAATACCTGCTCTACTAGATCTCATCAGTACATTTGGAAAAATATCTGGTTACAAAATTAATAATTCGAAAAGTTCTATTCTATATTTAAATGAGAGTGACAGACAACAACCTAATAAGTGTGCTGCAACCTTTAATATTGTCGATTGTTTTACATACTTGGGTATAAAAATTGTACCAAAACTAGAGGATGTTGTGCCAGAAAATTATGATCCACTTTTTGAAATTGTTAGTAGATCAATAGAAAGATGGATGCCCTTATCTATATCTTTAATTGGTCGAATAAACGTTTTAAAAATGAATATTTTACCCAAATATCTATATTTATTCCAAAATATCCCTTTGCCTCCCCCTAAAAATTTATTTCAAAGACTTAAAAAAATGTTCACTAAATTCATTTGGAATAATAGACGTTCCAGACTCGTCTATTATTCCAACTCTCCTGTATTTGCCATACAATAGAGGAGGTCTACAATGTCCTAATTTGCATTGGTATTATTATGCTGTGCAACTTAGAACAATAATGTTTTATTTTTTATCTCAAGACTGCCCATCGTGGGTGGAGATGGAATCAATTGGCATTAAGTCTGGTCTACCTTTAAACTTGTATTTATATTCAGCAGAATTTAAAGATCTAAAAAAAAATGTTTCCAATCCCATAGTTATAAATATGATTTCCGTATGGTTTGACATAAAAAAATATTTAAGTGCCAGCTATCCCTTATCTTATTTCAGTCCAATTTGGGGCAATAAAAAATTTAAACCAGGTGCGTTAGATGCAGGATTCAAGATATGGGCAGAGAAAAGAATTAGAAAGATAGCAGACTTGTATGTTAACAATATTCTAATGTCATTCGAGGAAATTGTGAGTAAATATAATTTTCCTGCAAAACATTTCTTTAAATATTTACAAATACGAGATTTTATCTTTAAATTACAAAATAATTCTCTAGATATGCCATCATTCTCTATTTTGGAAAACGTAATAACTAAAGACTGTTTTAGTGAAGGTTTAATTTCGGCATTATACAAGATGCTGGTGTCAGCATCAAAGGAATCTTCAAATTGTAAATTGGAAGCTTGGAGATTAGATCTTGAGGAGGATATTTCTACAGAGGATTGGATGAAGATGTGCGAGGAAGCTCAATCACTAACAATGAACACTCGTCTAAAACTGTTACAATATAAATGGTTGATGAGGATTAATATAACTCCAGTTTTATTGCATAAATATAATGAAAATATTCCAGATACTTGCTTGAGATGTAGGAACCAAAAAGGAACGTTGTATCACTGTATATGGGAATGTAAAGGAATACAGAACTTTTGGAAATGTATGAAAGAAATTATAGAAAATATTCTTGAGGTTTCTATACCAATGTCTCCTTTAATTTTTTTATTTAATTTATATCCCAAGGAGATCAAGTTAAAAAAGATGGAGCAAATGTTTTTGAATATATGTATTCTACAAGCGAAACGGCTTATTTCTTTAAATTGGAAAAGTATATGTGCACCAACTATAGGTTGTTGGCTGAAAGAGATGGTGACAAATATGAAAATGGAAAAAATAACTTGTATGATAAGAAATAGATATATAATTTTTGATAGAGTTTGGGGACCTTTTACACTGTTTTTAAAAGGTGGTGGATTTAGAAATGTTTTACTAGAAGATTAGTAATAGAGGTGATGTTGTATTTTGATGTAAAATACTGAGAAGCCTTTTGTTTTGTTTTTGGTTTGTTTGTTCAATTGTTGGTTTGTTGGTTTGTGTTGGAATTGACACATGGAAATGTTTATGTACATGTTACTTAAAATATAATAAAAAGGAATTGGAAAAAAAAAATAATGAACCGGCCCTCTGCCATGTTATTAGTATTTATTCATTCATTCATTTTCTTGTCGGCTTAGTTCCTTTAGTAATATGGGGTCGCCACAGTGGTATGAATCGCCAACTTATCAAGCAGGTTTTTACGCAGTGGATGCCCTTCCAGCCACAACCCATCTCAAGGAAACATCCACAAACACTCATTCACACACACTCATACACTACGGACAATTTAGCCTACCCAATTCACCTGTACCACATGTCTTTGGACTGTGGGGAAAACCGGAGCATCCGAAGCAAACCCACAAAAATTAAGGGAGAACATGCAAACTCCACACAGAAACTCCACCTGAGCCGAGGATCGAACCAGCGACCTTCTTGCTGTGAGGCAACAGCACTACCTACTGCCCCTTTTTATTTTATTTAATATAAAAATATACACTAAATAATTTATTTAGCATTTTAAAATCATTAAAGGGATACTCCACTATATTTTAGAAATAGGCTCATTTTAAAATTCGAAAACTATAAAACTCCCCTAGAGTTCAATTATTTTTGAGTAAACCATTTTTGAATTCATTCAGCCAATGTATGTGTCTGGCGGGTGGACTTTTATCTTAGTTTAGCATAAATCATTAAAACAGATTAGACGGTTAGCATAGCAATCAAAAATGACCAATGAGGCACAATATAATATATGCAGCGTGACCTGGACATGCTTTCTGTGCAAGCAGATGGTTATGTTAAAAGTTACCTAGTTCGGGACTATTTTCAGGTGCTGCATAATAGCACCTGCTACAGCCACAGTACGACAGCAAAGTACTTTTATTATTACTTCGAAAATGAGAGTATAGTTCCCAGCTATATCGATCTATAAAATAGCAACTTTCAATTTCTCTTAATGTAACTAATGGTCTAACGCTAATGGTCTAATTCGATTCAATTATTTATGCTAAGGGCGAGGCAGTGGCGCAGTAGGTAGTGCTGTCGCCTCACAGCAAGAAGGTCACTGAGTCACTGGTTCGAACCTCGGCTCAGTTGGCATTTCTGTGTGGAGTTTGCATGTTCTCCCTGCCTCCCTCCGGGTGCTCCGGTTTCCCCCACAGTCCAAAGACATGCGGTACAGGTGAATTGGGTAGGCTAAATTGTCCGTAGTGTATGAGTGTGGATGTTTCCCAGAGATGAGTTGCGGCTGGAAGGGCATCCGCTGCGTAAAAAACTTGCTGGAAAAGTTGGCGGTTCATTCCGTTGTGGCGACCCCGGATTAATAAAGGGACTAAGCCAACAAGAAAATGAATGAATGTATTCATGCTAAGCTAAGCTAAAAGCACTCTCACCAGACCTGGAGATCATTTAAATGGATTAAAAAATGTTGAAACTGGGAATGTGGAAAAGTAGAAAATGAGGTGTGTGTTATCCTATCTAAAATTATTGAATATTCTGTGTCGATGACTCCTTCCATTTTATTTCTGTGTGATTATTCTACATTGAATCTTAAAAAGCTGCCTGGTTTGGCTGTCTGGTTTAACTTCTTCCACGTAACTTGGACACGTACAAGTGGTTGGCACAACTTGGGACATTATGATGTTGTACAAATATGTACATTAAAGATCTAGACTACAGTTGGTGGCAAAGTCTCCATGTTTATTTTACAAAGCAATGATACGGTCCCAGAATGATTGCCTTATTTTGTGTAATGGTATTCTACTGATCTCCCATTCTTGATAATGTACTTTTGATTTTCTGTTAACTTCTATTCATTGTATATTATAGTTTAAAGAGACCACAAGGGAGGGTGGGGGTAGTTGAAATGATGATGTATGTCATGAAATTGTTAATTCGGCCTGTATGCTTTGTTAATAAACAAAAAAATAATGAAACCTAGCTGTTAACTCTATTTTCAAAACAGTGAAGTGTTTCTTTAAAAGCATCTTTGCAGAATTCAATGATCTACCTAACTGAATGCATTTGTATTTTGTGACTTACATGAGGCATGAGGTGCAGAAGGGCATCTCCACAGAGCGTGCCCACCGCCATGCCAGCCATCGGGCAGAGAAACACTTGAAGTACAGAAGGCTGAAGCAGCGGTGCCATTCCCAGAGCAACCAGAGAGGGCAGGCTGATGACCAGGAGCGCCAATGATGCCCATCCTAGAGCTGAGACATAGTGACCTTGTTTTAACCTGTGCTATGATCAATTGATTCTGATAAAACTGTTTATATACACACACACACACACACACACCTATGAGGAAGCCCTCGCTGGTTTTGCTGGCCTGTGAATGATCTTCTGTGTGCCGCAGACACACTCCGCTCTCGATCTGGTACAGGAGGGCAGGGCACAGGAAGGTGAAGTGGGCAGGAGTGATGTGGGACGCCTGGCCAAGCCCGAAGTTCCAGAGGAGCTGGGTCACATTCAGACACTGCCATGACGCAATAAGAAATGTAAGATTAAGTTCAGATTCAATATTACAAGGCTTAAATTCTGGAATACTTGATTTTGATTGGACAAATTGTGGGATTTAGCTGGGAGATATTTTTGGATAGCTGCCAATGTTTATTTTTCTGATATCCAATAGTATCTGGATGCAGCCTTTATGATGCAAGCTGAGATTGCATCACTCAGAGGTGCAATGTCAGACACAATGCACTCAAATGGAGCTAGTGACGTCACTGTGATGAATAGGGTTAGGGGTGGGGTTAGGTGAGCCCGTTAAAAAGCATTGGATGCAGCCCAGATTGCACTGCACCAGGTCTGCAGCCAGACCCCTCTCCTGATATCAGTGTTTTAGGGATGCTGCATATCACTCTGCTTAAAAGGGCCACAAAACCCCAGTCTCAGCAAGGTGTTTTCACACCTTTCGTTTGAAAAAAAGTCAGTAAAGTGGGTGAATTCAGTTTCGGTGGGAATTGCGAGTGACGAAAGAGTAAAAGGTCTGCATGAAAAGGGGAGTTTCAGTACATGTGTACGCTTTCTTTTTGGCTTAGTCCCTTTATTAATCTGGGGTCGCCACAGCAGAATGAACCGCCAACTTATCCAGCATACGTTTGATGCAGCCGATGCCCTTCCAGCTGCAACCCATCACTGGAAAACATCTATACACTCTCATTCATACACTACAGACAATTTAGCCTACCCAATTCACCTATAGTGCATGTCTTTGAACTGTGGGGGAAACCGGAGCACCCGGAGGACACCCACGCGAACACGGGGAGAACTTGCAAACTCCACACATATATGCCAACTGACCCAGCCAAGGCTCGAACCAGTGACCTTCTTGCTATGAGGCGATCGATCTACCCACTATGCCACCGTGAAGCCCTTAGATGATGTATAAACCTTAATATCCAAAAATTGACACTTAAAATTGGTCAATGTGGTCCAGGGTCACATATAAGTTAATATGTCATAACTCCATCATTACTTTTGGCCCTTTTAGTCATAATTTCAGTTACATTTCATGTAATATTTATGAATGTTTTTTGGAATTGAAACATTGTAATTCATTATTTTGTATTTTATGTCATTGTTTTGCGTCACGGTGGCTCAGTGGTTAGCACTGTTGCCTTACAGCAGGAAGGTCGCTGGTTCGAGCCCCGGCTGGATCAGTTGGCATTTCTGTGTGGAGTTTGCATGTTCTCCACGTGTTCGAGTGGCTTTCCTCCGGGTGCTCCGGTTTCCCCCACAGTACAAAGACATTCACTATAGGTAAATTGGATGAGCTAAATTGTCTGTAGTGTATGAGTGTATGTGTTAAATGTAAGAGTGTATACGTGTTTCCTAGTACTGGGTTGTGGCTGGAATGGCATCCACTGCATAAAACATATTCTGGATTAGTTAGCAGTTCATTCCGCTGCCCTCCAAGATTAATAAGGGAGTAAGCCGAAGGAGTGAATGAATAGATGTCATTATTTCATATGTTGTCAAATTTATAACTTTTGGTGTCATAATTGTGACCATCGTAATTGTTTCCATCATTATTACAATCCATCATTATTTTTCCAGCATTATTATTATTATTTTTTATGGCCGAATGTGAATTTACACATTGCACATATGTTTTGGATGTTAGCATGCAGTATGATATACTTGTATCCTGGTGGCGTCTTGACTAGTTTAACCAGAAGGATTTGGCACAATACCAGCATCGCCTGCTGAGATTGCCAACATCACAGCTATATGGCCCCATAAAAAATGAGACCAGTGTTAAACCAACACTAACCAGCCTGAACAATTCTATTTATCTGACTCCTGTCCTCTCACATGATGATCTCGCCATAAACTCTCATTGTTCCTCATACCGAACAGGAAAGGCAAATGCATTGAATTTTACTGTCTGCGCACCTCAGGATATCAACAGACCTTTGGTCAAATGATAGTAAAGAGGATTCAATAGTAGACTTTGTCCATTTGTAACACTTCAGCTGGAAGTAGATACTCACATTGCCATGAAGGTGTTTCTCTGTCGGATGGTCAGATAGCAGTGACACACTTTCCTCCTGTTTGTTTCTTAGAGCGGGGTGTAGAAAATAGTCTGAGCGACCCAATTCTGCCGGAGAGCCACTGAGCGCTGATTTAGCATCCAGACTGAATGATTAAATGGCATAAAAATCATCATAATTATGCTATGTTGATGGGAATAACAACTGCTTACATACCCAAGTAGAAATATGATACATGTAAATATATGCAAATTACATTTATGACAGGTTTAGTTTTGAAAATTAACTATTAAGCAGCATCTGAGAGCTGATTTAATAAGCTTTCTGATAATGAATGGTGTGTTAAGATAGGATAATATTAGGTCAAGATGCAACTATTTGAATATCTGGAACATGATGCTTCATAAAAGTTAAAATATTGAGAAAATCATCTTCAAAACTGTCTAAATTAAGTGCTTGGAAATGCATATTACTATTTATATTACATATTATTAGGTTTTGTTATATTTACAGAAGAAAGTTTACAAACGTCCTCATGGAAACATGATCTCCTTAATATTCTAATCTAATGAATGTTTATAAAGAAGAAAAACTGTGTATATATTTTTAATACCAGTGGTTGAAAAAAATCTGTATAGTATAAAGATATATATTGAAGAATATAAAATGTTCATATATTTTAATATGTTGTATATTCACTTATTTATTTTCCTTTGGTTTAGTCACCAAAGCAGAATGAACCACCAACTATTCCAGCATATGTTTTACACAGCGGATGCCCTTCAGGCAACAACCCAGTAATGGGAAATCTGATGTATATTCATTCATTCATTCATTCATTTTCTTTTCGGCTTAGTCCCTTTATTAATATGTGGTTGCCACAGGGGAATGAACCGCCAACTTATCCAGCATATGTTTTACGCAGCGGATGCCCTTCCAGCCACAAACCCAGTACTGGGAAATATGTTGTATATTCATTCATTCATTCATTTTCTTTTCAGTTTAATCCCTCATTGATATGGGGTTGCCACAAAGGAATGAACCTCCAACTATTCCCGCAGATGTTTTACACAGCGGATGCCCTTCAGGCCACAACCCAGTACTGGGAAATACTGTATGTTGTATATTCATTCATTCATTCATTCATTCATTCATTCATTCATTTTTCTTTCGGCTTAGTCCCTTTATTAATATGTGGTCGCCACAGGGGAATGAACTGGCAACTTATCCGGCATATGTTTTACGCAGCGGATGCCCTTTCAGCCTCAACCCAGTACTGAGAAATATGTTGTATATATGTTTTATACATGTAAAATCCAAATATGAACTTGCATGTCATTTATCTAATTTGCATATATTACCATATATAATGTTGCTATTTGGGATATTCAAAAAGTTAACTTTATAGGCTCCAGCCTACATTAAAATATTGCTTTAGTTAATGTACCTTTCTCTGAGTGGAGGTGAGTTTGTAGTCCCTTGAGAAGGGTGATGGTCTTCATGTGAGTGGGAATGGGATATCGATTGAGAAGGATGTTTTGCTTCACCATGTCGAATCTCCAGGACACTGACTTCTCCCAAACCCAAACTACCAAGCAGCTTCTGTAGACCCTCATATGTCAAAGTCCCATTGTCTCCATACTGAAGGAACAGACGTTGCAAGTAGTAGCCCTTGAGAGAAGAAAAATGAGAATTACTATTTTCCTAACATTTAATGTCCATGTGACAGTTTTATCATATTGAATTGGTGTCATAAACAGTCTGCAACTATAAATCCCACCCAACACAGACACTGAAACTGCAGCTCTAACTTAGCTCAATTTGATTGATTGAATCAGAATAGTTGATAGGATTTTCGAGCTCAGCGTCAACCCCAAGCCAAAAACCACTTGATCTCTTTGTAATATCCCTCAAGGAATGTAGATAATCCACTTTACCAGACGTGAAAAGAAAATGGCTGCCGTGGTTTCTCAAACAAACAAACATTGATTACTTTAAGTTTAGGTTTCTGAAATAATCATACCTGCTCTTCAAATGCTTCCTCAAAGAGTTCCTGTGAAGATTTGGTTTGTGTACTCTCATTAAACTTTCTGAACTTGTCGACCTGGGCACGTGTAGCCAGTATGAAGATGGCTGGCATTAACAAAGATATCATACAGTAGTAGAGCAGAAGCTTGAAGCTCAGAGTCATCCTTAAGGGAAAAAAATAACAGGAAATATGGTAACACTTTATTTTGATGGTCTGTTTGTTGAATTTAAGTTACATTGCATCTACATACTAATTCTCATTAGATTATAAGTATACTGTTAGGTTGGGGTTATGACAAAGTTTCTTATTGTCAGAAGCAGTGTCAACAGATATTAAGCAGGCGCTGTACTAATACTCAATTGGACAATCAAAATAAAGTGTTACCAAATATATTCATTTTAGCATGTGGCATGCGATCAGTAAACAGGATTTTTTTTAATTATTATAATATGTAAATGTCACAAGTGGGTGGTGGGATTTAATGAAGACACCTCTCTTGTGACCCTGGACCACAAAAGCAGTCATGAATGTCAACTTTTTTGAGATTTATATCATCTTAATGCTACATAAATAACAAATAACATTCATAGTGATGTATACCTTTTTAGAACAGGACAATATTTGGCTGAAATAAAACTATCTGGAATCTGAGGGTTTAAAAAAATCTAAATATTGGGGAATTTGTCTTTTAATGAGTCTAATGAAGTGCTTATCAATGCCAATTACTAAATTTAGTTTAGTTTTGATATATTTACAGTACAAATTTACAAAATAACTTCATTGACAGTGACTTTTGGCATAAACAAAAAACAATAATTTTGACACATACAGTGTATTTTTGGTTATTGATAAAAAATATATACGTGCAACATGAGAATTTTGTAGTCCAGAGTCACATATTTCTTTTTGACAGTTTAGAAAAGATCTCAAACTGTTCTCAGATAACACCAGGCACCAGAGTCTGCCATCAAAACGCGGTATATTGCATCATATTTCTTAGAAAATTGTATAGAAAACATCACATTTAAGAAATACACTTTTCCTGTGGGTATTTGTTTAAAAATGCAAGTTTAAAGGTTACATTTAGCATTATAAGACACCCAAATCCAAAGCTTGCAGGAAGCGCATTGCAAAACAATACCATGCAAAATCTACTAAACATACAGTTAAACAATAATGCTCTGACTGAAAAACTCTTTACCAGACTGTCTGTCCACCCATGATTTTCTGCGGTCTCTTAAGCCTGTTACATGATCTCCAGTTTCCTCGTAGTATCCTAGTGTTTAAGCATGAGAGATGGCGCATTGTTTTAATGAAGCCGAGGTTAATGATTGACCAGCGGGGAGCTTTTTTCAGCCTATCTGGAATCACGGGACGGAAAGGCATTGATCAGTTTGATTTACCTCATGACTATGTGATGTTAAAGCAGCACATTCTCACTCCCATCCTGTCAAATATTGAATACTCAAATGCAGACCCATGATGAAATCTGATACATGGATATATGCTAAGGACATATATGACAAGTTCATATTTGTATTTGTATTTCACATATATATATATATATATATATATATATATATATATATATATATATATATATATATATATATATATATATATACATATATACATACCCCCCAAACATGCTCAACAATGTTCACTCTGTTGACTGGGCTGGCCAATCCTGGAGCATCTTGACCTTTGCTTTCTGGAACTTACCTCAGGCTGTTGATGTTGCCAACCACTGCAGATCTCTCACACACCCCCATACTAAATGTAACCCCAAACCATAATTTTTTTCCTACACCAAACTTGACTGATTTCTATGAGAATATTGTGTCTATGCGGGTTTCAATAGGTATTCTACAGTATTTGTGATGATTGGGATGCAATTCAATAGATGAATCATCTACCTCATCTACCCCATATCTGTACATATTTGCAATTCCAATAATTGAACAATGTAATAAAGAAACTGCAATGTTTTCAATATTCTGGAATATACTGTATGTTTCATATGACATTTTATCAGCCTATAGACCCACACCTCACTGACAAAGGTCCAGCATTTGTCCCATACATGAGCTCATTTGTCCTACTTTGGTGAAATTCCATCGTGGTGAAAATAACCCATCAAAAAAGGCTTTAAGACCAAGCAGAATCCTTGGTTGGCTGTCACTTTGGTGTGACTTAATCAGTTTTGGCCAGTGCTAACAAATATTTTTCATGATTCCAACATTTAGCTTTGGAAGGAAACATGCAATCTGACTTAAGAGAGCATTTCTTTTGCTATTGTAGTGTTTTTAAAAGGTGAAAACCTTCTTGGACCTTAATCATGAAGCAAAAAAGACCAATAAAAAGACTTGAAGCACCAAATGTGGACCATATTTAAATTGATTTGAATACTATTTTGGCCAAAATAGTTAAAAAGTGTGGTTATGATGACCATTCGACATGCTAATTCAGAATAGTGCTTAAATTGTCTCTAAAATGCTGTTTAAATTTAATAATTAAATAGAAAATAAGGCATATAATTGCAAAAAGATCCACTATTGAGAAAAAATACCCACCCTTTCACCAGGCTGACAACAGACCTGAGACAGACAGACAGACAGACAGACAGATAGACAGATAGATAGATAGATAGATAGATAGATAGATAGATAGATAGATAGATGGATAGATGGATAGATGGATAGATGGATAGATAGATAGATAGATAGATAGATAGATAGATAGATAGATAGATAGATAGATAGATAGATAGATAGATAGATAGATAGGCAGACAGACAGACAGACAGACAGACAGACAGACAGACAGACAGACAGACTCATATTAACTCATAACTCTTGAGTAACAGTAATATATGATTTGGGATTAGTATAGATGTAATGTGTAGCCTAAATCTGACATAATTGCTCCTCCACACACAGTCTGTCCTGTAGGCGCAGCAGCAGATTCAGTCTGACTTCATCCGCTCGGCTCAGGAAGAGAAATCAGCCATCTCTCAGTCAGATCCCTGCAAACACCACAGCATCCAAATCCAGATATCACATTAAGCTTCGGGGGAATCCTGCGATCTACGGGAACAGGTATTACAGCCCTGCGGAGAAATTTTTAAAGCGCTTTTTGTGTGTTGGTTTGTAAAATACCAGATAGTAGCACAAACTGAAAGCAAATAGTCACGAAACATGAACGCGACAAGGCGTTAATTAACCGGGTAGTGTATGAATAACATTTATATGAGGTTTTAAAAATGGCTAGAATTTGTAGTGTGACATTTAAGGACGTGTGTTTAATGTTTTGATAAAAGCTGCTCTTTCGGCATGCGTCAGCTAGTTGGATTTCATGCTAGTTAGCTACGCTCACTGTTAGCTCCTTAGCAGCAGCGCATACGCTTTAAATGTCATTCTATACTGAACAAAATACACTCGGAGACATCCGTTTATTAGTATGTGAAAAATACATAAACATACTAAGCAAGTCATGTGGTTGTAATTGTGATGCGGGTTGTTTTTGTGTATCAGTGTTAGCGAGTTGGCTAATGCTAAGCGTCTCATTCAGTCGCTCACACACATCAGCAAAAGTGTGTTTCAGGTTGACTGACGCGTAGACGATCATCTTTATCGCCAGGAGCTTTAATAGTTGTACAGATGTTTGCAGCTGTCTGGCTCATTACTGTATATATGTGTATGAATGTTGGCAGAAGTACAGTTAGCCCGTCTGTCTGACTCCACCGTGACGTATAATATTCATGCATGACTGTAATGTTCAGACGGATATTAATGATCAATATGCATCTCTGGTTTAAATGGCTTCGTCTGTCCATTTAACATTAACCCCTCAGTACCTTTGTTATCCTTTGTAAGTCGAAACAGGATCGTGTTTACAGCTGGAATTGGATACATATATTAGGACTGCATAAAGACTATTGGAAAGCTATATAAGTGCTATATATATATATATATATATATATATATATATATATATATATATATATATATATATATATAATTGCGCTATGATTACAATTTCACTAGATGACTTGATATCTCAATTTGTAAAGAATATATAATGTTAGTTAGTTTGTTGGGGCGATTCTGCAGTGGGAGTGCATCTCCAAAAATCTAACAATCTATGAAATGTTTGAGGTCCCCATACACATTGTTGTTGTGTACTGTCTCTGCTATTTGCCGTGCATTTCTGTATTTGCATGTGTTGTGATTATTTTCATCCACGCGTTTAGTCAGAGATTGATGAATTAACGTTTACTATTTGTATCTCTATAAAATCTGATAGACAACCTATAAACATGTTTTCATTGCTTTCTGTCCTATTTGCAGTGCATTTCTGTATTTGTATGTGTTGTGAGTATTTTCATCCACGCGTTTAGTCAGAGATTGATGAGCTAATGTTTACTATTTGCATCTCCATAAATTCTATTTGGTTATGCCATGGTTATAGATTTTGGTTATACGATTATAGTCTGAGAAATAATCATGGTTTCACGGTTATCACGATTATTATGCATTTGTAATTTCAAAACAGCACTAGTTTAGGAAATCACATGACAACTCCTTATATTTTAAAGTTGTATTTATTGCTGCTCAGTAACCAAATAATACAGCACATATTAATAATAAAAGCAAACAATAGTCCATTTCTCTTTGGACTTGAAAAAAGTTTTTGGCATTTAAACCGGTAATCATTTTACACTGAATATAATATGGGTATTGGCCTATTGTACAAGCTTGGAACTTTAAACTAGCACACAATTGGCATAACTTTGTTTAGTTGCTGCAGATTTGTTCTGTGCAGAGACGCGGTATTGAGAACCCTTTACGATTAATTAACCGTGACGAATTAAAGCGTAGTTAATAGTGGAATCGGTTAATTATTGCATCCCTTAATCTAATAAATAATCTGTAGAATGTTTGGGGTCCCCCCACACAATTTTGTTGTGGTCTGTGCTATACGCAGTGCATTTCTGTATTTGCATGTGTTGTGAATATTTTCATGCACAGCAATCTATAAATACAATAAAAAAAAGATTAAATTAAATTAGAGTTTTTTTTAATCATTTCTAGAGTCTTTAAGTACAGTAACTGAATGATAAAAATACAAACTATTCAATAAAATGAATTGTAGTACCTGAATGCACTACAAATGTAGCACCCTCTACCTGAATGCTTTTAATATCATTATATGATCACAGGCATCTAAAACACATACAAAAGGTAAATTATAATACAAAATCAACATTGCATATACTCATGACGATGTGACTATTGCAAATGATCACATTGCAATAGGGAGGCTGAAACGATATATTGTGCAGCCCTAACATATATACACACACACACACACGCACACAGATTTGGAAAAAATATATTTGGTAACAAATAGATACATGTTTTAATCAAACAGTTTATTATTTAATTTTTTTTATTGAATGAACTACTGGTAAACTGTATAAAAATGTCAAATTATAGTATTATTTAGAATATTTATTTGGAGGAAATTACAATGGGTTAATATCTAAAATATTTAATGTTTTTATTTTTATATATTTTATATTGATCTAATGTCATTGTAGGCAATTACTTGTCAAATTCATAAAATGCATGTCACTAGTTGCTAGTATGTTGCAAAGTAAAAGTCAAACTAACATCTTAATTCAAACACATAACAGTAATTGGCAAATTTAGGGAACCGATAATAAGAGGTAATAAATAATAAGTTATTCTATATTTTTTTCGATGCACTATATATTACAGGCAGATCAAGTTTGTTTCTTGTTAAAAGAAATAAAAAAGAAAAAATAATTATAGCAGATGATTAAGAAATAAGATTAAGAATAATGATGTTTTAAAATATAATTTAAAATATATATGAATAATTGCATTTTTAAATACTTGTTGTGCCCTATAGGGATGACTGTGACTCTTAAATGCTTTGGGTTTCGGGGGTTTGTCAGACTCAGATCTGTCATCAAAGTATCAGACAATTATTTACAGGTAAACATGTTTTTTTCACGATCATGCATGCAGGCCATTCGGCTAGATGTTTATTGAATAAAAGCAAGGAACGCCATTGCAGAAATGGGGGTTGAGGGGAGAACGTTCTGAGCCAACCACGCTCTCCCCCTCCGTCTGCTTAGACAAGCTAAAATTAGGTCACCACCAGCCTACCGGGACACAACACCACCCCTCAGAACTGTTATGAACTGGCAGAGATGCTACGACTACAAAACACAGCCAATTTTTTTTTTTGGTTTTGTCTTTTCGGAAACAATGAGAATTGATCTGTGTGCTTTCTGGGTTTTGCTGTTTTATGTCTTATCAGAATCCAAAGGAAAATGCAGTGCTTCTGGATTAAAGTGCTTTTAACACGGATCCATC